TGGAAAGTGGGACGTTTCATGTTCGCTATACAGTTTAAAATACTATTATAGGTCAAAGAAATAGAAAATATACTAAGAAACGTTTTCTAAATAATTCAATTTTATCATTTTAACGTTTTAACCTTTTACTTTTGTCAGATAGGAAATTGCACATTACACATTTCTTTGTAGATGAGAATTCAAGATTAAAACCGAGAATTTGTTCTTTTTCACTCATTAGAATTCTAAGAACACAACAGAAGATGAATATGACGATTTAATTTCATATGAATCTGACGACGGAACGTTTGATGAGGGGTTTAGTTTCGAACAAACTACAACCCAAGAACAGAGAGTAAGACTGGACAAGAATGGGAAAATTGAAATGGTATAACATTCTACTTGACATATTCATTCGTGTAGCACAAGAGCAGGCATCTAACAGTCTAAGATTTGGATTTTTTCAAAATGACACATCGTAGATGAGAAAAATTCTATGGTTAACTTTTTTACGACTAACGCCGGGTTAAATTTCGTCAATTTTTTCGCCTATAAGCTGATCTTTTTGCTGTAAACTCAATTGAGACTCCTTTATGAAGACCAAGTTATGCTATACAAAATGTACCTTTAAGAATCAGGGAAAAAAATATAGGCCCAGTGAATCTCAATTTTCAGGCCACTGACAATGGATCAATACATTTTCCTGTCATTTCAAAGTTAACTTTGCCTTTCAAGCGATAAATCTTTTAAAACTGGCAAACTTTCTGAGATTCCTGAATTCTCTAAGTTAAACTTCCGCAAAAATTCAATGTGTACTTATTTCATCATGCTCTTTAAATTTATGATGTATTTATCTGTTGGGCATCCTCTTAAGCCTGGATGCTTAGAAGACAAAGAATTATTTGATTTGATCAAACAGGGAGCTCCACTTAAAAATGAGAGCAAAAATCTTTACACTGATTCCAGTTTTGACTTCTTGGAGTACGACACAAGCATTAGCGAAAAGGTAAGAGCAAGAGAGAGAAGTATTATAACCGGGAACGGAAGACCCTATGTTTTTGAAGTCAAAGCCTAAAAACTCTTAGATAAAAACTTCATTTATCTTCCATGCTGATGGCTCTAACGACCGATCAGATTCCTTTTTCCGTGTTATCATCCGCCATTTTGATTTGTTGTGCAGATTAACGCTGTACTTTCGGTCCCAGACTCCGGTTCGCCGTTTCTGGTTTTTAGTAACATCCCGTAGCAAAGTTGATAACTGATGATTGAACCTATTATCTGTTGTTTTTCAGGAATAGTCCAAGGAAAATAGTATGCTGTAAGCAAATGGACCGACCTATAAATTTATAACATTACTTATTGTAAACGAAATAAACTGTGAGAATCTTTGCGTATTTGTTAGATACCAGCTCTCTTTGTCATCTTAACTATAGCCTTATGATGTTATCGGTTGTATTATAATCATATAAGCTTTGTGGTTTGCTACATCATGTGCTTCTGTTTATAGCTACTAATAAAAGAAAAACATCTTCTTTTACTCTGAATATCTGAAAAAATGGTTTTATTACCTCTGTTTCCTACTATTTCTTGAAACAGTTAAAAAACTATAATAGATACATGTTTACTAAATTCACTGATTCTGCTAATAGCTGGCTGCCAAATTTCGACTTCCAATTGTAGGGCTGACTCGTTTCCAGACTTGCCCTATGACATCGGAGACTGGGTGCAAGTCAGCTGCTGGGTGACAGTTAGTAAATATATAAGAATACTTAACACTAAATAACGTGGTTAATAAATACGTTTCTATTTACAGTTCGAGTTACTTAAAATATTTGGGTAAATATCCTTCAGTTATTGAGACCAAGAACTCCTTTTCCCCTCACTTAGGAGAGAGAATCGGACTCTTAAGTTCACAATTGCGATGATTCAGATAATTTTCAAGCCTTCTAGAATAATTCATGTTGTTCGCTTCAAAGTTTAAAGTATATCGCTACCGGTTTCTTATCCGAAATACTAATAGTGGGCACTTGCGATGATTTTCTACCAATTGCAGGACATGGTTTGGGCGACCAATCAGAAACGGAACCAGGGGGATCACTGCGATTGGCTGGTACGATCTTCTCGAGCTTTCTCCCTTTGCATAGTTCTGTGTACTAAAACAATTCCAAAATCCCTAACATTGCTCCAATCCAATTTTTTCCTCATAAAAATATGTTATCAGGCGTTAAGATTTCCTTACTTTTAAAAAAGGTTCATGTTCTATAAGATGTGTGCAAGTTTCCTTTCTTATTTCTCACATTGAAGCAATGTTACGTTGTAAATTGAAAACTCTTTGGCTTGCTTAAAAACACTCCTGATCCATGAAAAAAAAAGAGGAAACCGACTGCTCACTTAAACTTTTTAAGCCTGTTTAGGTACTGGCTTATTGAAATTAGCAAACATTCTCAGGAATGAAGCATAAAATCTCGTTACTATTTCATAATGGCAAGTTTAACTTTTAAGTCACCTACTAAACTAAGGGTTATCAGTGGACACGTCCAAGCATTTTTAAGTCCTGTACTATACTATCTACAATTATGTTTCAGTTAACAATACAGCGCAATGTCGATACTACGAAATTCCTAATTAATTTTGGCGATTTCCCTTAATTGTGTTTACATAGAATATGGGCGATAAAAAATTTATAGGATTTTTATGTCTCTCAGAGCAAAATTTCCAATTTACTCCAGCATAAAGACCCTGAGAAGTAGGCAGTATATACTTTCTTCATGGCGGACAAAAGTGTAAAAAAAAAAGAGATATTATTCTCGATTTTGTAGGCTGCATAAAACCAAAAATAAGAGTCAATCTTTAAAATTTTTTAAAATCATTAAAATGATTTTAAGTTGATTGTTTGGGAAGTAGTTTTCTGTCTTTAAAAAAAAACATTTACCTTCGTTTTGGAGATATCAACGTCATTTCACCAGAATCAAATTAAACCGAGCTTAACTTACCATGAACAAAATTTTGTCTGGAGCAAGTGGGATCGTAATATCGATATTGCACTATGATTTCGTAATGTTCGTTCATAACATTAAAGAGTGTCCAAAATTGTCTCAAATTCACGTATAAATGTTGTCTAAGTATCCAAACATGTGTTCACGTTACACATGACTGCCAAGTGCCTCACCTCAGTGATCATTATGGCAAATCTGTGCGTCGGCGCTCAGTCCGATTGATGTATGTCTCTCCCATCAGCAGAAATTGTGGTGGTTTCAACTGTTATCTGTAAGATTACATGTCTTTGGCGATAAAGGGAGATTTCTTCCACTTGATGCCCGTGTTCCTGTACAAAACTTCCACCATGCTAGTTCCTTGGGTCGGTAAGGTGGTTCTGTCCTTGAGTTGATAGAGAGCTGTGTCCGTATTTTCGTACCAAAAGCGGTCTCCGTCACGTAATACTCGATACTGGAGAGCAATAATTCGAGCGAAAGTTTCCCCGACACATCCACCATCGACATGTGGTTCTGCTAATCCACCGATCCACAGGTCAACATCATCTATATCTGGGTAAACTTGTGAAAGTCTTTCTTGAAGATCCTTATCGGGCGTTATCTCAGCAAAGTTTTTACGTCTTGACAAACCAAGTCCTTCCCGCACTGTGTTGTAATCTGGAATACCGTGGTCCCTTCCTCTCTGTATGTTGATAGCCACGAGGTCGAGACCCATTGTGTTGGTTCCAAACAAGAAGTTTCGCACAGAGTCTGAAAACTTCAAGTCAACTTCCTGAGCCTTCTGTGTCAGCATGCCTCTTATCAGCGGTTCAATTCCACCTTCACGTAGCACGCGCCCTGGATTGAAGTACGCGTCACGTAGAGTTAGGTGACCATGTCCTAACATGGTCCAGTTTTCGTTCAGTCGCGGCATAATGTTTCCAACCTGACTGTGGCCAAATCGGAAGGCCGCCGTGGCGAACTCGTTGAAGATGCCAACCTTTATAGAGGCGTTGTATCCCTTGTAGGGGCCCAGTTTGTCATACTCCGCCAGGCCGATGACAGTTGGCAAAAACTCGCTCCAAACTATCTTCTGCCACTTGGCTCGAGCTAAGGCTCTTGCGTGCTGGAACAGAGTCTCGTCGTCCATATTTTCGTTCCCTGGATGTTTCATCAGCTCATCGCAGATAAGATTGTGTTCGCGTGACCAAAGCGTGTGAAGGGCGATGAGGCCAGGCTGCACATTCACTCGGTTGTCCCCAGAGACGAGCATTTTGTCACGTGGTCCATTCAGAAGGTTCAAGTTAGTGACTTCTTTAGTGTTAAAGTCGAGGATATCACTGGATTGGTGCTTCAATTTACCGTTTTCCATTGTTCGTAAAACTTCTGCTCGTCCTTCATCGCATCCATAAACTAGAGACAGGTCAATGAATGCTGTAACCTTGTTGATCTGATGATAAAAATTACACTGATTAACATCTGAGCATTAGAAAAAGAACATGTCTTAAACGCCTGGTTTCCTTATGGTCATCCGAATAGGCAAAATGTTCAACAAGAGCGGAGAATGATCCTGTTTTGCGGAGATCAGGCCTAAACACAAACTAGATATTGCACGTTTTGTGTTCTCGGCGAAGTTTGCCGCAGAGTTTGAGATCCTTATCCTCCTTGAACAAAGCCAAATTTAGCCGTAAAATTTTCAGGCATAAAATCTTAACCAGATGGTTTGAGTAACAGAGTAGCCTTGATTTTGGAACAGTTCTGATGATGTAGTCCATCATATGGAAACCAAGCTCAAAAGAGGAACTACTAGTCAAATGTTGTGATTTCAAGAACGATTCTAGGCACGAACTGCGTATAATCAAACATAGCGGGGGAAAGGGGAAGAAGGGAGGATAAATCCCGAAATCAAACATTTACCTGTTCACGTGGTCTACCATGCATTTTCCCGCTGGTCTGAAGGATGCCAGATCTTCTAAATCGCATTATTTCTTTGCCTGTTCCATGCGGGTCGAACCAAGGGTCACCTTCTGGGATTTGAATGCCAAGGTTATCAGTGGTCAGGAAATTGGCGTACGGTGTTGCAAAATCAGTGTCATGAGCTAACATCTGACCAAAGTGCATATGGAAGTCATTCAGACCGGTTTTGCTGAATATGTCAATGCGCTGATCGCAAACAACATTGGATATAAGTCGTGGGCTTGATCTGTTGGAGCCCGCGGGTGCATCGAAGCTGTCAGCGTATGCTGGGGGAAACAGGCGCTGTAGCGGCATGAGTGGCTTTCCGCAGTCAGGGTCGATCGGGTTGTTGTTGACTGCGTCCAAGCGGGCAAACTTTTCTGACAATTGCTCTGGAGAAGGAGCGGGGGTCTCCACTTTAGTGACCTGAGAAAACATACAACATCATGTCGTCTTTGAATTTATACAACATCGTTGTGGCTCATTATGCAGCACAAAAATACGAAACCAGCCTAAAACTACTTTGCAAAAGATTTTTAGCTATTTTCCATTCCTTTTAAACCCTCCTTATCTTCGGAGAAGAGGTTTCTCTGATTATTGTCTTTCCTACTCCCGGCTAAGATTTATTAATCATATAATTTAGAGATCGACTCGAAGCCAGCTCAGGTATGTACAAGATATGACAATATTTTCGATTTTTTTATTCGTTCATTTTTTTCCTCCTATCTCTTCTGTTTGAAAGAGTGACATCAAGGTTTTTGGGTCTAATTTTTCTAAGTTCTTTATAAGTGAGCAATCTTAAGGCATATTTCCGCAAAGTATCTGATGATTCTCTTTGCCAAGACGAAAGACTGCGTCATACCAGCCACGAAGTATTTTTTCACAAGTATTTGAAAATTCTTCGTGGCATATATTTTTTTCTTCCTGTTTTATCATTGTCCTGTTTTTCTAACCGAACTTTAGACCAATTTTGTCAGTCTTTTAGTATTATTTATGTAAAAAAATAGTATTACTTGGCCGGAAAATACCGAGAAAATAGCTCCTCAAAGCACAATTTAGCCATCTCCCTACCTTGACTTTCACTGTAGCAATAGCTGTGCCAACTCCGTCACTAACAGCATAGTTAAAGTTATCTTCGCCAAAGAATTCTGCGTCTGGATAGTATGTCACGTGCTTGGGTCCTACCATCACCTGACCATGCTCTGGTTTCCGGGTCACTTCCTTCACTAATAACTTGGTGCAGCCTGGAACCGACTCACTGGGGGATGTTGTCTCCTCAACTGCATTGCGATGACCCCAGATATCTCGTACAACAAGGGAAGATCTCCTGGGCACGTCGTGAATAATCCGTGTATTGTTAGTGGCTGGCCAATAAACGCGGATTCGAAAAGTGTCGGCGGTTTCCGCACCCAGCCCATAGTGGACAACGTACTCTCCTTGGGCTGAAAACCCGGATGAGCTTCGCACTTCACGGAGAACTTCTTTCTCTAGCCGAGGCGAGTACAAGTAGACGCAAGCGCCATGACTTTCCCTCTCGACGCTGGCCTCCATAACTTTGACGCGGATGAAATCAACTTTGTTGCCGCCAATGTTTCGATAAAGGACAGGACGGTTTGCGTTGTTGGCGATGAAAACGTCTAAGTCCCCATCTTCTTCGTAGTCGAAGATGAAAACGCCTCTCCCGTCGAAAACATCAGTGATGCCCAGTTTTTGGCCAACTTCCTCAAATCTAATTTGGCCGTTATTGTCCTCAAAATACATATTTTGATACAGACGGGTTCGGGTGTGATGAAGAAAATCTGTGTCCGTCACCTCTGGATCATCGAAGCCATTCGTGTGGATGAGATCCAGGTCGCCATCGTTGTCGAAGTCAAAGAAGGATGCGCCCCATCCCCAGTTCCCATAGCGAACTCCGACCGAGTCAGTCTGGTCCGAGAATTTACGACCTCCTTCGTTCCTATGAACAGAAAGTACCGAATCAATATAAAAGGTAGGAAAGAGAGGATGTTATCATTTCTGACATAGCATGAGCAACTTATTACCATTTGTACGAAGTTAAGCAAAATAGTAGTTTTATCACAACTTTCGTACGAGACTCTAAACCAATCAGAGAGCAAAAGGAAACTCTTGGCATCCATCAAGAGCTGGTTAAAAGAGACATGAATAGCACACTGAATTCGTTTCAAATAATGTAAATTAGAGACGTGTTCACTGACTGGTAACTCAATTAAGTGGAATAGAGTGTTAGTTTGAGTGACTCCTCTCAGAGGTGTCAGACATTTTTCGCATACATCACGGATTACAAACCTGTAAAGCCTGTTTCCAGTATGCCCAAAGATGATTCCTCCACCGAGATAGACTTCTCTAAATGGCTCCATTTGTTCCGCAGACATGTGAATACTGCTTAAAAACCAATCCTGCCGGCCATCAAGATCATAGTCGGCTACTGTGGAACCCATTCCATTCTCGTCCGTTCCAACGCCACTCGACTCGGTCGCGTCCGTGAAAGTTCCGTCCCCATTATTCCAATATAAAACGCTTGTTTTGAAATCCCCGTTTATTATCAGGTCTTGATAACCTACGAAATATTTAAACATTGCGATCACTCACAAAATTATTTGATGTATTTCCGCGGTTTTTGTGTGAGTGTATATAAAGCCTAAAGTCGTTTTCATACACCTTTTTTTCATTCTACGACCAATAATTTTCAGAAGGCGCTCGATATATAACCTCAGGTTGCATTGGAAGAAAATTGCTTAACTGAAAATGGTGATGTGTAATTTGCAGTTGGGTAAGTTCTGTATCGCACTTTGACTATGGACTAAGTCAATTTTGAAGATGGAGCAATTGCAATTTTGTATCAAGTATAATCCAGCGTTGAGTTTCAGTTTCTTACGCGCTATGATTCATCTGAGTAAAACCTTGCGCTACCTCTCGACCAGTAAGATACAAAGTTGCTTGACATGTGAGTCATTCCTTTATATCCCTCATGGTTGAGGCTACTGATATCTATCCATCTGTTAATTCAAGTTATCTTGGGCTCCTTTACGATTGGGTGCTGTGATTACTTTGGAACGATTTTATGACACTCATACGAAAAACGTTTAAAGACTTGTTTGCTTATCGTAGTCCATACAAGCTCTTTAAAGCAGTCGGAAATCCGCATCGAAAAAAAAAATAGGCTATCTAAAAGACCCCCTATATAGTATAAATGTTTAAGCCACATCTAAGCTATTGTCGGTTGTGTTATAATAATTAGAGACTCGTTGGTAACCTAAAATGAAAGATTTTTGTTTGACCCTGCGAATCGTTACTTGTCAAAACCACAATATATTTGATGTTCTCAGTTTTTCCTTACCGTCACCGTCCAAATCAGTGAACATGGCTGCCAGCTGGAATGGTCCTGGGATGATGTCTCTGAGAAGCCCTGTGTTCATTACTCCATAATATCTCACATCCACTCCACCAAATCTGTCTGCAGCTACGGATGGTTCCTTGGTGATACCCAGTCCTGCACCTTCGGTTACATCTTCAAAGTATCCCGGTTTGCCTTGCGCGCCAAGGTTTCTAAGCAAGCGACAGTTGGAATGAGTGTAGTTTTTGTAGTCGAAACCAAGATCAAGATGAGGAAGCCACTCTGTTGTGTAGACATCCAGCCAACCATCTCTGTCGTAGTCTCCAACTGCAATTGTCATGGTACTTGTTTTGTAGGGTGATATTGCAGGCCTTAAAGCAACGCCCCTCTCCTCTGCCTCATCTTTAAAATGGCCCATGCCATCATTTATGTACAAAAAAAATTTGCTCTCTGCCATGGTGCCTACATAGAGATCCATATCACCGTCGTTGTCAACATCCAGCCAAGCAACTGCCGACGAACGATGGAAAGCCGTGGAGCTCAGGTTGGCAGCGGCGGTAAAGTCTTTGAAAGTTCCGTTGCCAAGGTTACGCCACAATTGATCTGGACCATCCATACGAGCATAGTAAATATCCATGAGCCCATCACCATCGTAGTCAGCGGTTGCTGCCGCTCCGGAACTGATTTCCACGATGCAAAAGGAGCCCGGGATCCAAATTTTCATGTTTGGATCGTACTGGTCAAACAGACAGTCTGGAGCCTTGGGCGGCTGTTGTTGTATTGCTGTCATACCTAGACTGACTGCTATGTCTTCAAACTTTATCTGCTGGATAAACAACAATTTAAATTTTATCTGAAAATACAACTTCTGGATGGCAATTCTGGCCATGAAACAATAATGTAACAAATCGTTCCAATGGATAGCCGTAAGTGGCTTTCCTTACTGTATACTTTAGTTTGAATTTAATTTATGTGAAGGAGAGACTTGAGACTCTTTCAGTTGTCAGCCTGCACATCACAGTGTTTTTTTCCTTTCCAGTTGAGAAACGGTTGTTACATTTGATGAAAAGTCTAATTTTGTATGTCGAAGTTAATCTATAGCATATGCTGTCAGATTTTTTGAGGTTAACAGTTTAAAAATAAGCTATTCAATAAAGAATATATCAGGGAACGAACCAATTCTAAAGATCTCAATTAAAGACACGAAGTATGCGAATGTGATGTCACGGTTAACCTACATGCTTACTTATTAGAGCATGTATGCCAAGAAAGATCACTTACTTAACAGAGCTCTTATTTTTCATGTAATAAGAACAGTTCAGTTGCAATTGGTGTTCATTTAAGACAGATTTTGACGTTGAGCTCGGCATTATGCGGAGTAAGAACATTATAAGAATGCACAAACGCAAAAAGGCGTTAAATGCGCACCAATTGCGATTACACCACATAACCTGAGCCCAGGATTGCCGGAATGAATTGAAGTAATTAGATAATTCAACTTTTTATAATCGTTTATACGCTAGTTGTGCGCGAGAGGAATCGTCTAAGAAAAAGGTTATTTAGAAATACTACTGTAAATGGTTACGTTTGGATAAATACCTGTTTGTTGTCCGAGAAATGGTTCTCTTCCTCTGTTGTTATACACACACCGGAGCCATCCTTGCTGTAATCGTTCTTTAAAACTGGGATGTGCACGTGACCTTCATCGGAAGTCATAGTTACTTCATCAGACCGAGCCACAATTGCATCCGGCTTTGGTCGGACAATGATTCGAGCCTGAAGACTCCCGTCAGTAGTCGTCGTAAGGTTTTCGTAAAGATACGAATAAACGAAGACATCTTCGCCTGAAAAGTCTTCATACGGTATGTATGTTGCTTGAGCGTCACAAAGTTCATTTTGTACGTTGAGATTGCTGTCTGGTGAGCTGGCAAACGCTCCGTACTTCGGCTGCTGGATGACGACAACCTTCGGAGCAAGTTTCTCAGATGCTTTAATGTATTTTAAAAAGTCGAATGTCACTGGTTCATCCTCGTCTGTGATGATTGTGAAGGAGTCTTGTAAACCTTAAGAAAAAAATTGTCATCGATAAGTCTTTGCAGAATATGTTCTGATAAATATTCGGAGTTCATAGAATGGCTGAACTCTAAAACTTCCACGAAATACAAGTGTATGAATCGGTTCTTGTTATAATGGACTGTTAAGCATGCAGGTGCAGAGGATTCGAAAATTTCTCAATTAAGGTATTACGTTGGGATAAAAATCCAAATACTTAGAACTAGCAATAAAAGAAACGTATAGTTATGTGTATGGAGAATTTCTTCGTTGATCTTTGGAGTTTAAAAGAGTTAAATGACATTAAAAATACATGTAACATCATAACAGATAACAGCATGCCAAAAAACATTACAAATAACAACATTCCAAATAACGTTACAAATATCATTGGATTTGAAGGGGTATTTTGTAAGCTACAACTGCAGACAGGACTGAGGTGTTCAAAATTGGTAATACAGTTATTATCCTTTCCCAACCTACTGTACAAATGTCGACGAGCTCATGTCTATGTCAATCATGGGAAATGTTTTGTGAGAATGAAAACTTCTGTCCGATCAAATGTGGTTGTAGTAGAAGTCTTCTTAGTTTGTATTCCGGCAGTGGCTTTATTTTTAGGAGATGTGCTGAATGCTATAACGATACAACTTTAATGTTCAGAAACCTTAGCAAACAATGAGATGAAAATGGAGCGGACATGGATAGAGAGGGACGAAAAAAAGTGGGAAGACACAGTATACTATCACCTGGTGTCGTGGCTGTATGTCTAACTATAACGTCAGTTGAGTTTTGGTCCGCCTTTCATACGTTGACTCTGAGCTTTAAGCCAAGCACGTTAAACTTTTCCATGTGAATATGATAAACATGCTGCGTGGCTTATCAACAGTACTCGCTCGAAAAGAAATTCTTAACACTTGCGTTTATTTCCGAAAACTAAATGAAAACGGAATAAAGTGAAACAAAAGACAAATAAGGTAAATCAATCAAGAAAGGTAGGTCTTTGAAGTTGGGACTTATTTTTGACTTTTAAGTAATTCGAAATTTCCCAAGGAAAGTGCATCGTGTTAAAAGGTTCGATCAAAAAAAAAAAAAAATAAAAACTACTCCTACATAAGAACTATATAGGGGAAAATAAATGGTGAATTACTCAAAATAGTCAAAATAGAATCCTTCCTATAGTCTGCAGTGTTTACAAAGTTGCAAGTTCAGATGCTGTAAGGTAAAATGTGAAAAGTTTTTGGCTGAACTAACTAATCTTATCTCCGCATTTTCATCTCTGGACTTGTCTATACTTTCACTTTTTATTTTACTTGGCGTTATCGTAATGTCATTGAGAAATATGTGGAAGACTTGAAAATATGATAGCCCTTTAGCCAATGCAAACGAGCTAAAACTGCAAATAACGCGAACTACTTTTTTAAAGTAAAAGCTTGGCCCTGGAAAATCATGGCGTGCCGCTAAGATTGTTTTACAGTTAACAATGTTTGTTAGTAAATGGCGCAGTGTCATACTAGATTGATGACCCAGTTTTCGACCTGGTAATATGGTATTATCAACTGAGTTGATAACGAAAATTGGCCACCGTTAAGAATTTGAAAGCTGACGCTTCGAGCGTCAGCCCTTCGTTAGAGCGGATGCAAAGCAATTTTCGACCTGAGTTAGCAAAGAAGAACTAGGTAGATAACTAAACCTTACTCAAAACACTAACCACACAATTAGTTTATGATTAGTGGGGGGCCAATTACTGAACTTTTTCAACTCAGCGACTCCTCTTTCATTAGCAAGAGAGGTTTAACCTCAAGGTAAAATTAAAAAGGTACAGGTTTTCAAATTGTTGACATGTGTTTCCTTCCATGTAACGAAGAGTGTTGTTTCTCGTTGAGCTCAATTGTATTTCACCGCTTTAATTCTCAGTGGGACAGCAATTACACTTTAAAGACGGAAATTAGAAGTTGAAGGGATTATGGCGGACAGCGGTAACAGTCGATGAAGGCGGAAATTTGTTCAATAATTTTCCTGTTTATTTCAAAGAGCTCAGCGTGAAGATTTTGAACTAGTGATTTTACCTGGAGTTAAGGAAATGATTCTCAGTGCTTTTGAAAAACAACGCCTCTTAAATAGATTATTGTGGCGGTAATAAACACCTTTGTGCTGTTACATGGAATGCAGCAGATTTCCGCACCATTTTTGTCTCACTGTTTGCCCAGGTTCCTCAGGCGCTGAGCATTTAAGTAATATTGTCATAGTATTCAGCAAAACAAGAAAAATTGAATGGAACATTTTTCTGTGAGTGTCTTATGAAAAAAAAGCCGCTGCTGGAATACTACTTCGTCACCGCGGGAGGCACTGCGTAGATAGTACTAGATAGTTTATCTAAATCGAGGAGACAGCGAAAACCGCTCTGTGGAAAGGAGAATAATATATGTCCTTGCTCTAAACCATATTGAAGTTAGAGATGTAAAACGTAAACAAAATGGACCAATAAAGAATTCATTTTGGTACAATAGTGCTAATTTACTAAATAATTTACTACGTTCACTGCTTCTTTCAGTTATCTCTCTCTCTCTCTCTGCAAATGTTGACACACTGGAATTAGTAGAACTGGAGAAATGACGACACTATTAGAGACGTAAGGGGTGGTATTGGCCTTCAGTAAGGAGTCTTGTTCTGTCAGGGATATGATGTGATAACGTTTGTACATCCCGCTAGAGAATATAAACGCGAAGAGAGAGCTAATTTTCCTGAGTTTGTTCACAAAAAACTTCAGCACCTCAAACGTCTGATTGAGAGATGCATTCTGTTTTGTAGTTTGCTTCATTGATAAAGCTAACGGCTTTCTCATTTGCATTTACAGGTACTATGTAAACAGCATGATAATCCAGAGGACCTAGAGATCAGCGACATTTTCTCGTTCTGGGCTATCAGTTTAGCAGTTGACTTTGCTTATGGTTACAGTTCTTCATTTAAGGAGTTCGAGAAACTTATCCCAGTTAAGGTATGCAATGAAGAGACTTCCTTTAAGGTGTGCACATTGTTGAAAAACTAATTGAGAACCCTTCCTCTGTTTTATATCTTGATACTGAATTCAAAATGCATATTACTCAGCACAGTGATGTTGAACACATCCTTTGAAAAGCCACTATTGACATGATATTACCATACTTCAAAGCTATATATACACACACACATATATATATATTTATATATCCCACCGTTTCAGAAATAGGATAACTTTAGCTGCTTTGGGCGTGACAAGCAGCATGAAACGTAACATATACTGAAGACTACTTGATCAAGTGTTTCATTCATAGTCTCGATGTACTCATCGCTTAAAGTTGAAGCTAAAAACTTAAAGCGAACGAACTGAGAGCAGAGTTGCTTAAGGAGCAAATCTCGTTCGGTGATTGAAGGCCGGGCTTTAATTACGGCAGACATCAAGTCTCTTCGTCCACTTGGCAAACCCTTACGCGAAGAGCAGATATTTTGAAAACTGGAAGACGTACATTTTTCCTGTTTAGCTAGTAACCTTTCCTGGTTACTATATGATACTAGAAGTATTCAAAAGTTACTGAGAAATTATAAAAGCTGCGTTTGTGAAGGGCTTACTTGTAAACAACTAATTCCATATATGAAAGCGAACATGACAAATGACATAATTCGAACTCTTCTACTCGTATCGCTTGACGCTGTGAGATTGTTTTGAGCAAATATTTTGTTAAAAAGAGGCGATGAAAAGGCGGCTGTAGGATCCTGTTTCGAGAATACAAATGAAACTTTCTTTAGGTCTTAAGACGCATTTCCTTAAATAGCAGCGACCGTAAAAGCGGGAACTTTTTTTCTTACAAGTGCCTCTACCAGCTAAGCTTATCTGATCCTGACGAAATTTAGTTTACTTAAACGAAATCGTTTCGACAAACAAAGTTTTGCATGACGAAAATCATTTAAAAAAAACCATGGATACCAACAGGCAAGTCACTCAAAATATCGTAAGTGCACTTTAAAAATGAAATGCGAAATCTACATATATATAGTCTAATTTTCTGCCAGTTTCCTCCGATTCTCTAACTTTTCAATGCAATATTTTTTCTTTCAGGTCTATTCACACATGTCAAAGTAATGACTCGGTTATTTTCAGAGCGAAGAAAACAAATTAACGAATATCAAACATCCTTGACAGACTGCCACACCACTGAGCTAAATACAAGCTCGTCTTGGACTTAAACAAATAATTTGAAACAAGTTTGAAAAGTATTTGAGAGCACCCCTTGAAAAGCTAAAATGTCGACCTAATTAGTTTGGAAACAAAGAAAACAAATTAAGTTAAAGCGCAAAAGGATCCGGCTGCGGTTTTTGTCTTTAAGAAATCACCGCGATGCGCTCTATATAAATTGAACGCCCACTTAACTAGCTCTCGTATTATCATCTGCCCTTGAAATAATTTTACAAATTGGTAACAATTGTTCTCTAAGCAAACATTCCAGCTTCTCTGAGCTTCAGTTTGTTACTGTTGTGCAATAGAAATAGTTACAAAAGTTTTGTACTATAATCTTATCAATTAACGAAATTTCAGTCCAGTTAAGATCGTGGTTAATATCAAGTTAAGAACCATATATCGCTTAAAGAACGTGAAATACCAATACTACTTGGAATTTTCAGGCTCCATCTCGTTGCTTTTGTCAAATTGAGCGTCAAATATCGCAAAAAAAATTCGAATTCCTTTGATGGCAAAAGATAAAATTTAGTTCATATTCTAAGTCATCGAACAATATCGTATTTTTCTTGAAAGCGATTTCCTAACGTTTGTGGTGAACCGACTAACCACATGAGCTTTAAGTATCTTTTTCATACACCAAGATAGATTTTTTGCATAGCTTTCTCGTTACCGGCTCTTTCAGGAAAGCCGTAAGCGGATGTACGAAATGTTGGTTTGACTAAGAGAAAATACGCTTCACTTTCGATTCAAACAAAACCTTTCTTTTTTTATTCATAATGCACAACTGTGATAGAAAACAAGCTACCATTGTTTTGGGTCCAAAATACCACTTTTCATCAGCTTAATATTTTAAGTAATGCTTCCCAACTAAATCTTCGTGGTGATGTAGGGCCGCATTATCAACCTAATTTCCAAATGAGCGCATCGATAAACTGTTTTAAAATTTCTGTGGTTTTACAGCAATCATCGATCACTGCCCCTAACCTACTGCTCAATTCAAGAACCATCCACCGAAACCTCGACCCCTCGAGATTCACCAAACGCAAGAAACATGTCCATCTCAAATTGTAGTTGAAAATCAATTAAGGACAAGTTTTTGTTTTAAAAGTGCTCCTTCTCGGAGGGTTTTTGAGTGATCCTTTCTCCTTCTTTATACAGGTTTCCAAAGGTTTCCTTGACGGAAAGCGGTTTTAATGATCTGACTGAGATTACGGAGGAAGAATTAAAACGATAAATTACTAATAGCATCCCACGAAGCTGACAAATGATGCGTGCCGTCGAAGAATAATCCTTGAGCCTTATCTCAGATTTGTACTCTCTGTGAAAGGTTAGGAGAAAAATTTTTGAAGCCCATTGCCCAGGAAGTCAAGGAAAAATTCACTCACCATTGGTCACTGCTCCTGTTAGGAGGGCACAGAAGAAAAAAAGTCTCATCTTCCAGCAGTGAACCATCGAACTCTTATGAGGCGCGTGATGTTTTCTCGAGACTGGACTACTTGTCATCTGCATATGACTGTCCTACTGCCAGCCGTAATCAGCTTATCTCTATAAGTCCGCTCTCCCGTTTATATCCGCTGCTTCAATGTGGATCATGCAGCTCCGCCCCGTTTTCCAGCTCAGTTCACACAGCCTCTCTGACAGAGTGTGAATTACCGAAGAACAGAAATCAAAGCCAATTCTTTTGTGCTTTTGTTTGCGCGACTTTGGCACGTCATCTATAAACACAATTTATTTTTTAATTTGACTGTCTTTTTGAACCTGTCACGCAGTTTCCGAAAGTGTCTTGTTCACTCACTTTGGAGTTACCCCCTCCACCTACGATAAACAGCAAGGTTCTATGCGTAATTATAAACCACTTCGACCTCCCTTGGCGATGAATCCGTTTTGTTATCGCCTAGTACTGTGTAGCTCAACGCGCTTTCCTCTCTTTTGTGTTTGTACTCATTGCTAAAAATACGTCATCACGGTGCAAATCCAGAGCCATTTAGCCCGCCAATCTCGCTTGGCACCTTTTCGTCTAAAACAAGTACAACCAACACCATGTTGCCATTTCCGATTCCTCTTATTACCGTGCGGCATAACTCAGCTCATAAATCAGCCCTGTGTCAAAATTCTTCTAAGAGCTACAAACCCCAATTCCCAGTATGACGTTCGAAGGTGAATTCATTCGAACGCAGTTAGCGGCCATTTCGTTTTAATAGCTTAAATTTCTTAACTTAGTCGCGGCTGTATTAACATAACTATCTACGGTAACTCGCATCGATTGTCCGTACATATCAATGCTTTGAATGGGAAGTATTGGATTGTCTACTCGCAGATCGATAAATTTAAAATTTCGACAATTAAAATTAGCAGCATAGACCTTCATTTTCATGTTTAGCTGGCGTATCGTTTAAATTCGTACAGCGATAAAAGAGAGATTAGGAAAGGAGCTTTTGCCCCCCAGAAAGGTTTTACTTATTTCTCTGTAAGCTACCGAGAAGCTGCTAAATTCCGGATATTGTTCAACGTATTAAAAGCCCTCTCCAACGATGAATTATCCAAATAGACAACATTTTTAGTACGGAGGTATTGTGAATGCCTCTATAAATTGTAAAACAACTCAGTGCGAACTTTGTTAGCTATACTCACAATAAACAAATTGTTAATGGACCGTTTTGAACTTGAACCTCTCTCAAGAGGTTCACTTTTACTTCCACCCTCCGTTCTCGCTCGATCCAGCACATTAAATTTATTTACAGACCTTTGACGCCTAGGATTTTGTTTTTCGAGTGCTTTAAGACAATTTTCAAGTCATTCATCGGCCTAATATCTTTATGGATGTGCATGTTATTTAGCTATCTTGAAAGCCTATGACATACTTTTGACACCTAACTCACTTTACTACACGTGGAGATAATGCTTAGATATTGCTCAGGAAAACTTCTTGAAGAACTTTCCCATAACAAATTCAGTGTCTCAACCTATTTTTAACCGATGTGCGTAAACATTTCTTTGTTCTTTAATTTCGAAATCGATGCTTTGTTTTATTGCTCTTTTTTCTTTTTAACGGTTCAGATAAGTAATTTAAAAGTTCAACGAAAACAATGCGGGAACATTTCCGGAATTCGGGCGAACTTAGCCTAAATAATAATAACACTTGATTTTTGTATCATTCCTGTTATTCAAGCTGCCCCCAACGTCCTAATTCTTTCCGTATGTTCACCAACCTCGAAACTTACACCGGAAAAAGCGACTCCGAGGATGAACAGTGAAAGCTAATTTGATCAAAGTTGTCCTCTGCACGTTGGAAGATGAAGGACACTTGGCTTATTGCACTCACTCCTTGCACCTTCAATATGCTAAGTATTTTTAATGGGGTCTTCAAATTAAATCGATATTTTTTCCAATGTTTTTTGGCAACTTAAAAAAATCATGCTGGTTTTTTTCATCCAGACGAGCAAACTATTTAAAATGCATGTTTTTAGCATGTAAGGTGTTATCTCTACTTTTGTTTTGTTTTGACTGTTTTGGTCCTTGCATAAATTTGGAAAAATAGCCGGCGTCTCGAATTAACGGGAAAACTTGCTCCTTTTCTTAGATATACTGATTATTCTGCTCAGGAAAAAAACACTACAAAAACATTCCTTTTTTGGTTTGTCTAACGCGAAAAATTAAAATAGCTTGATAATTGAGGAAGAAAAATTCTCACAGAGTCATTCTGACAACAAAGAAATAGTAAAAAAAAGGTTTTTCTTTACAGTTAACTTAGCTCGTAAACCGACTTAGAAATAGAAACTTTCGTTCCCTTAGTGAGAGTAAAATGTATGTTTTGTTATCAGTTATGATGCAAAATCTCGCTTTCAGAGAAAACAATTCACAAATAAGGGCAAAATAACTTAAATTTAGAATCTGTCGGCCGACTGTGCGCGGAAGGGCGACAAGACATGAGAAGACGGCCGCCTCGCGCCTTACTGCGTTGTGCCGTCAAACCACCTGCGCTTCCTTTAAGTAGGCGGTTTAACGGACATGTAGCCAAGTTCATTGTTTAAACTCATTTAGCACTCAAGTATAATTTCGTAAATGAAGTAAAAGTAGATGGAATATTTCGAACGAAAATTTTTCGCTCATGAACCTGGCGATTTGGGAAATTGTCAAGGAAATTTTGAGTCCTTTCGATCTAAGAGAGTCGAAACTTTGATCTTCAGATTTTGAGTTCTTCAATTATTACCAGAATACTGTGGAATGTTTTATTTGCGGTGGAACTTTTGTTCAATGGCCCTTCTCTTGCGACTCACCTACAGGACCCTTAGGCTCATGAAATGAGCAAAACGAAGGGTAATTGATTCGATTTCCACATGTCGTTGTTTTTATTTCGGATTTTCTCAATTGATAGCAGCATTATTCATCTCTCTATACACTTCATTATCTTAAGCGACCGCAAGGTAAGATCGTTTTAAAAAATATCTTTTCTGAACAAGTAATTGATGGCGCATATAGTTACGTAACGAAAGTTAGAAATGTTTTCCAGCCTTTGCGGTTTACCACGAATTCGAAATCATTGATTTATCTAATTTTCTTCAATCAATCTTCGTTGATTTACAGGCCTTTTTTCAAATTTTATTACGTCAATTCTGTCCTAGAGTAATCAGTATATCAACTGAAATGAAATTATTACTTGAATTAGCTGGGAGCGTCAAGTATCTCGATTCGAGAGCGACACACTTAGAATAAGAGAACAAAACACATTTGGGATCGACTTACAAGCAAAGAAGGAAACACTCAAAATTAAAAATAGTATCCATCTTTCCTTCCGGTATAAGGGCAAGATCTTGAGAACAATTTTGCTTTACCCTGGATGTCGCCAGCCACTACATCTCTGTCTGGAAGCAACAACACTAGCAAATCGCTTTAGGGGTATCATAACTAAGAAACGTATTGAATTTGCAAGATTTTGCCCCTGAAAACTTTTCCTTCAAACAGAACTTAAGCCTGAACAGAAAATTTTTGTCACCCACAACTGAAAAATACAGCTCAATCTCGGTTGTACTGAAGAATTCCACAATCTTTTCTATATCGAACAGCTTTTAAAATATCAATTTCTCACTTTGAAAAACACGCTAAAGCAAATAACAACTATTTCCTTTCTGCGCAAGCCGAAGAAACCACAAGAGCTTAAAACATTCAGTGAGACTTAGGCTAGTCTAAAAACTTGAGTATTGATCTTACGGCAAGCTAACATGGTAATAAAGGTGAAGTATGAATATTAAAAACGTTTCTATTTCTCTGTATTGTTCCCTGTATTTTTCTATAAATTAGTTTTCGGGCGTGTCCAAAGAAAGTATGGCTGCAACCACTTCCGGTGCTGTTAATAGGTCAACAAGGTTTTCCCAATGTAAGGTATATTTATCCCTAACAATTCCTAGGTATTACGAATGATTCCTGATCAAAAATTTCAGTTTGTTACTGAAATGGTTGTCAAATGGAAAATTAAAGTGCTTTTGTTTTTCATTTTCCAGAACATAAGTACATAAACTTTTCAATTAGTACAAGTATACACAATGATAAGAACAATTTTTTTCAACCTCTCAATTGTTTATATTTTAAATTCATATTAAACGACAATTAAGAAATAGATTACGTTTCTTGACATCGACCTTGTTAGTGATATCGGAATGACGTTAACTCTTAAGAGGCTTGTCTTTAATATTGCTTTGATCAGAAATTAGTTACAAAAAAGATACCTAAAATGAAAAACACCTGTTTACCGCCGCGTTGGCGCCTACAATTGAGGCGGGAGATTGAGAACTAATGTGACTTGCTCAGAGAAGATATGAGGCTGAAGTCGTGTAAGTTGGAAAACACTTCCGGGAGACAAAGGGAAACAGCGTTCGAAATCAGCATTTGCAGGAAAGCCAGAAATAAATCACTGTTAGTTGGATATGATATTAACGGTGACTTGCATGTATGAGGATTACCTGTTATGGTCATTTCTTCTTTGTTTCGTGACCTAGAAATATTAACTCGCTGCCTGGAAATAAATTTTCAATGAACACTGAATTCCTTGTATGATCATTAGAGAAAGTTGAACGTTATCAATAAAACTTCCGTTAAGATATCCCTTTTAAGGTAAAAGTGGTTAAATTGTTGAAATGATAATAATGAAATAAAATACACCAGTAGAAATAGTTTTCAATGGGGGTCGAAAAAATACTTTAAAGACAAATCACAATAAAACTTTATAAAAACTTTTGCCTTTTTCTTTTTGCAGATCTGAACTGCCAAGACTACCTCTTAAACAGAGCAATTTTCGAGTTTCTACCAATCAGATGTAAAACTAAAACCTACGAGGGAGTGTTGTACACGAGGAAGTTTTCTCGCTGTTATTTTCAGTTTATTGGTCATTTGAAATATTTAACTTTGTTTCGATCGGCCGCATTGGCATTTATTTCTATTCTTGTAGAAATTTTTTGTAAAAAAACAGTTTTTACAAGAACAATTAAGAGGACATTTTAGTGAACCAGGCAACAAGCAGATGACGACAGCGACTTTACAAAGACTATGTAAAGTGTTTACCCATGCAAGTCAAGTTGTCATTGCACAGTAGTTCATACAACTACTGTGATATGATGCAAAGTACTTCAAGATCGTTCGTAAGTCTATTGAAAGTCTTGTCAAAGGACACAACAAATGCGGCATTAACTAATTAAACGGTGCGTCTCTAGATTACATGACTGGAAGCACTCTGTCCGGTGTCGGAACCTCCAGACACGCAAGCAGCTAGTCAATATAGCTAGAGGATTAACTCAATGGTTACCAGGTTACAGAGCATCAAAATAAACTGTAGTATTTATCTCACAGTCCTTCCTTCATTCCGTTTTTGGTAAGATTCCCACGAGCTCGTTCATGGCTTTTGTCTACGTGGAACTTTATTTAGCTAAAAGCTCAATACCAAACAGTTACTTCACATGAGAGAGGGTTTAGTGCACTGAACTAGATCTTTGTCAGGCGGACATTGAACACTTAGAAGGAATAAAGACGAGGCAACTCGGTAAAACTTTCCTAGTGTAAGATCTTAAGGAAATGAAAGAAAAAACTAGATTGACGGTTGTCAGGGGCAAATTTAACAAACCGTCTTAAACTGAAGCTTTTCAAAAGATAGCAAGGTGTACGGATCATTGTAAAGTTATAAAATTTGATTAGAGTGCTTTTCAACAGACTATAAATTTCAATAAACGCAAACAAAACGTCATATTGATAAATCACACTACAGTTTGTAAAGTTACTTGTGGTTGGTGAGGAGTTTGGACAGCCAATAACTAAACAACACATCATGCGATAATGTTCCACTTCTGCGATTGTAACAGTTTTGTTAGATAACTAACTCATGAGAAACATCTATTGGTCGTTAATATCATCCACATGCACTTAGTTTCATAATTAGCAGATTCTGTGTGATATTGCCGCTGAGTAGGAAGCATTCTTTACAAGTGTCTCTTGAGAGCAAATCTGTTAACGTTAATGGATCCAATTAATTCATACCTTGATTGATCGCTGTGCGCACGCACTTCCGTTTAAGGTGTAATTAGAGACGTGACTCAGTATATAATCAAATTCTTACCAGTTGAAGATATTGTCTAAACGTTCAGCCTAGCATGACCATGGGAAAGTGCACGAATTTGCTAAAAATTATTGAAGCCGAGCAAAAATACCATATACTCATTCACCTGTGACAAAACTGTCTAGATTAGGGACATGCAAACCATCATGGAGGTTATCTTTCTAACATCATGGGCTAAAACTTCATCTAGTCATTCCAGAATAAGTATGAGAGGTCGTATAAATTTCCAAGTTCCAGATGACACAAAATGTCTTATATCCAGTACGTAAACGACAGGAACAGTGACTGAATACTACCACGCAAAAGTTGCATGAATATTGTTAGTCTAAATTTCAGTACAAAAATAAAAACATATAAGGTACTCATTCTGCATAAGGTATATAAGGTACTCATTCTGCTGAAACAAGCCCAGAACGGACATCCAACCTAATATTCTCATCGAACCTAATATACTCATTTAGTGAGTATGACAACATCGTGCTGGACACGAAATGCTACACGAGTCTCTTCGATCGATCGATACATGAGATAAAAAAAAGAAAAACGGAAAATGCACTCATTTCTTTGAATAGCCAAGAAAGCACCATAAAAGTTGTAAAAATTTATGTGTTATGAATCTGACAAAAGTGTAATTTTTCCATCTTCATCGAACCGTGTAAACCTTTCCGTCCAAACTAAAAATTTTTGAGCACTTCTGACTATTTCATTCATCAGTTATGTGGAAAAACCCGTGGGACTACAAAAAGAGTTTGGAATTGATTGTTCACAGTCCTGCTTTGATTTTCTTATTACATACTGAGAGTAATATTTGTGCACTTAAAGACAAAAAAAAAAAAAGATTCAAACTTTTAAGTTTGATAAGCGAAACATTTTGTCTTCGTATTTTGTAACATAAGTAGATATCAATATTCCATCTTACTTAGGAAATTGTTCAGTTTGTCTCTGATGCTTTCTGGGTGGTAAACCATATAATAGAAATAATAAGGATTCCTGTGGTTCAAGGGTAATTGTGAGCACCGTAAAATATATTTCGAAATATTACATGGTTAATTTTAAATATAGAAACCCTGGAGGTTTATATTTTATTCACCAGCATAACTCATAACTGGTTACTGATAAAATCTAGCTGCTATTATCTCAATATTTCATATCTTATGATCTTAGTAACTTAGTTTGTGTCAGTAAACATACAAAACCCTGCCATAGATTATGCTAAAGGATTATGAGTCCTCTTTCGTTTTCTATGTCAAAACCTTAAAGCGTGATCTAACAGGATAGTAAAAATTGTTAGGCGGGATGGAAGACCAAGGCCGATTCTCTGCGTCTTGTTTGGACCATTTTTTTCTCTTACTACAGCTGAGGTTCCACAATCTCGGAGGGAAAGTCGCTCCAATATAAAGAGGAAAAAAGACACTCTGCTGTTATTCTATCGCTTGTTAATCGTTACCACCTCTTTCTAAGATGCAATCCAGTTGAAATCTAAACGAAGATGACCTCTTCCTGATTGCCACCATAAAACCGAATCAACTCAGCAGCCTATCTACATGAATTGCTTCAAATCGTCTGAATAGCTCTCCGGAAATTCTCAAAATACTTTCTAAATAGAAAAAAAAACCGTAATATCTCGAAAAAATATCCGGCTATAGATAAGGGGGCATCGAACTTTCTTGAATTTAAATACCCCTAGTAATAATAATGATAATGCTAATGATAATAGTAATTATATTATCATCATTTTCACTATTATCACTGATTTACTTTGCGTTGTACCAATTTTGCAGACTACAGGCTTTTTGTTAATGATTCAATTGACCAAGAAGACGATCCTTAGAAGGTGTGGACTTCCTTGCTAGGTCATTTATTTGGAGTTAAACTAGACACTAGAACTATAATCTAAGAAGGGGGAGGGGTGATACTCTTTAGAATAAGGGTTTTGGGGATGTGTCGCTAGATAGGGTCGCATTTCCGCGACTGGATTGACAACAATAGGGTTGCATTTCCTACAGAGTAACTAGAATGGAGAAGCACATTTTCGGGATTTTAAGGGTAAGAAAACTCTGATAAGTAGGGGTTTAAAAATGGGAAGATTTGCGGCTAAAAAGCTGTTACATTCGCCAAAAAGTGACTACGATGGGGTTTTAAATTGGCCCCAGAATATACTATAATATGGTCGGGGTTCTGAGAGGCTAGTGGCACATACCCCGCAAAAATTGACCCGAGTTCCCCTACCCCCACGGGGCTATAATCTTAGCCTAGCTATGAACTGGTTTTAAGACAGATGAAACGGAAGTAACTCATAGAGTTACATGTCCTTGATGCAGCAGCAATACAGTCTCCTATTTATGAGTAACTTTGAACAAGGCAAAACAAATTGTGTCACTAGTCTGTATATCTTGGTTTAAAGAGCAAATTGTCTCAGAATCTCAATTCCACTTGTGTTATCTCTAAATATATGTTCACCCATATCGAAGAAATGGTAAGCACGTACGCGGTCAAGGTCATTTTAGATCCTCAAGGTAAATGAAACACAACAATACATGAAAACAATTTTGAAACTACTTGAATCAATAAAATATCAAGGATTTCACTTCAAAACACAATACAATGTCTCGCATAAACTTCAGGCGAGGGAGTGGAAAAAAAATTGGGTGCCTTTTTTTTGGACAAGCTGTATCTTTCGTTGCATTTGAAATCCAGCTTATTAAAACCATGGCCGAGAGGGGCCCGGAAAGCTATGCTACTGCGAGTTTACGTCAAATTTCAGGGGCAACGTGTTGTTCAAATTAAGCTGATAACGGGGATTGGTTTCATCCCTCACTTCAATAAGAATATTGAACCTGAATATTCGCTCATTCTCGTGGTGAGGGATTGTTCTTCCAGCTCACTACAGACTTGATGTAGCTGCGATGGTCAAATCGAACAGAAGAACAAACTTAAAATAAGGTTATATTTTGTTTTACAGCAGTTTACTAAGTGTGACTTAACCTGCAGAACTTCACTTAGCCAGCGATAATCAAAGCTCTCGCACGAAACCGCGGCGAGTGGACATTCAGTTCAAGATGGGACCCGAACCCTGAAATCGCACAGCATCTGGATAACACACGAATAATATGCGTTCTCCTAACCACTAACCTACTTGGCGCTCTTAATTGAGTCTACGAGTCTGAGGAGGCTGTGACTCTCTTTTGCACTCATTTCCCCTCAAACAACTGTTTGAAAGTTCTTTTAACATGAACAGGAGCCCATCGTTGGTGATGAGCTCCTGACATGAACTACATGTCTGAATATAAGCTTAATTAAGAACACTTTCATAAGTTGTAACGCGAATGATGTATTTCAGTTCTGAGGATTAATTTTAATGATCGCGTCACCACTTTATCAGTAAACCCAAGAGTTGCTGTAATGACATTATAATGGTAATCCAAGTTACAATCGCAAAATGAAACAACTTTGAACTAATCACGTTCCAAACACCTATACAACACCAATACAGCGGTTAAACGCCGAGCATGCGAGAGGGGATCAATTCTGGCCGCCCACGCGCCAATTTTCCGCGCAAAATTTTAAAAGGAAGACGTAAGAAACAACCCCTGTCTCGCAAAATCGAAACGTTCCTAGAAATCTGTAAAAGGAAAACTCGAGACTTTACGAGCACAATGCTTATTCTAGTATGGGTATCATGTCGATCTGCATCTCTGTTTGGAGCTTTATCGAAAAAGTTATACGCTTTTAAAACACCGTGACTCACTGGCTTGTATGCTTGTTGTAACTCATGTAAAACAACCTGATTCTGACAGCTAATAAAACTTTCACAAATACGCAGTCGTTTGACCGCCTTGTTTACAACATCAAAAGTAGGTCCGCGCTGCGTATGTGTGTCTAGTGCAAAATGAAATGAATGTAGTATTGGATAGTTGCACACCTACAGCTGTACTGCGCTTTAGGTCTATTTGAAAGGTATGATGAAAGATGTCAATGGATGCATGGGTGTACTAAAGTGCAGCAGTTTTCATGGTAGTTGTTTCATGGCCTATTTTACCATGAGACTATGAGTTCCCAGTTCAGTTATCTAAGCAAATTGATCCACTGTGTAGCAAACACCTTTTTTGTTGTGTGTAACACACGTTTTTGACATTGGCACACTTGTTGAGCAAATATACAGACAATCTTGGAGTTTTTTTTTTGTGACTGATGTGAGGCAATTGAGACAGCTCTTACAGTTCGGTTTTCCAGTTGGATTTAACAATTAAGCCATTTGGTATTCTTTTCGTTTTTTTTTATTGGGAACTTTTAGTAAAAGCAGTCGAGTACACTGAATATCAGCAAAAAGAGCTCTGCTTGAAAATGGATAACCGGCAAAAACGGATTTAAGAGAACGATAGTAATTATTCAGTTTTAGAATGGTTGTCAAATCACTCTCCAAAGTAAGTGTAACTCTGTGGCTGTTTTGACTGAGATGATAACGTGAATTGGCCACCATAAAGAGTTTGAAAGCTGACGTTTCGAGCGTTTAGCTTTCGTCAGAGTGAATGACAAAGGGCTCGAAACGTCAGCTTTTAAACTCTTTACGGTGGCCAATTTACGATATCAACTGAGTTGATAATACCAAATTACCCTGTCATGCTCTCTCACCGACACAGCACCACGGTTTCCTTAGAAACTTACCCCCTTTACTCAGTTGTGAACATCACAGCCAAACTACTGCATGTGAAATACGCGCCCAAATCGGTGGTGTTCCTTCAGCCTCATCTGCATGCATGAGCCCACAGAGTAGTTCAGCGGGTGTTCCGCGGTGGAAACTGTGGCAAACCTCCCCTTATTTACGTGATAAAATAGCCAAAAATGCGCCTTTTAACGCATAACATGCTTACATCTCACGTCAAAGGCGTAAAGAATGGATATCCTTTGGCTATAGAGGTAGTTGATTAACTTTTAACGAAGTAGTTGTCAAATAATTGAAACAAAAATGGACATCTTCGACGTGCACGTGCATACATTCTGGAGTCGCTTTATTTGATCTACAGTGTTAATAGCCTTAAATTCGTTTACTTTGAAGCCGTAATTCATTTATAAAATTTATTTTAGTGTGTTATATCCTCTCCTTTTTTCCTTCAGGTCGTGAATGTTGTTGTTAATGAGGTGGATTTCAACCCTGAATTCATCTCGCGAATGATTCCGAAAGTGGACTGGGGTGCTCTCGTACAAGCAGCGCAGCAAGTGAGAATACTTAAACGAATACTTACTAGTCACTCCTAAGAGTTTAAGGTTTGAACTCAAGAAAAGATCTATACAACTGACTTAATCTATTTTTCACATTCGTTTTAAGGTGGGACGGTCTGGGGGTTTACCTGATGAATTGATCCCAGACTATGAAAAAGATGAAGAGTTCTTAAAGAAAGCACATCATGTTCTGCTCGAGGTATGTAGTTTTGAAACAAATTACAAGTGATTGTACATATTTTTTGTATTTTATATCCACACATATATTCAAGTATGGAATTTTTATGAAAGATAACATTGGGTACCGTGATAAAGGTTAACCTGTGTTAACTGGTCACCCAGTATTAAATGGTGACTTGTCATAGTCCCAAACTGTTTTTGCCATAAACTCTGTAATTTTCACCTTCATTGAGTGGTCACATGGTGTGAACCCCAGAAGCCTATTTGTGTTGTATTCACCTGTTTTGAACAGTCACTCAAATAAAGCTGGGAATTATCTCTTAACTAAAATTAATTTAATGTTTTTCTCCTGAAATCAGTGTTATTACTTTGAGTTGAAATGTCTCCAATGCAAAGCAGATGATTTCTCTTCTTAGGACTGTTGAGACAAATATTCTGCATGAACTTCATGCAAGTCATTTGCTAGTTAATAATGACTTGGGGGTCCAACTGCTTGATAACAGTATACTGTGTACAGTAATTCTGCTGTTATTGCTCATTTTTTTTTACTGTGCCACCATTTTGTTGTTGCTATTTATTAACAAGAGGTCAATGCATTTTTTATTAAGGTGTTGAATGAACTGTATATTAAGTGACCAATTATGGCATAAAATGGAGATTTTTTATTATGGTTAACCCTATTCCAGGAAACCTTTAATAAGTGGTCAACCTGTATTAAGCAGGTGCTCCACTATTCCCAGTGACTGCTTAATACAGGTCCAACCATAATTAGCATGTCAGACTCTGTGGAAGCATTGGATATAAGCATATAAATTCCTGACTCTAAAAAATAAACAAAACTAGATGAAAATTCAAACCAACATTTTTGAAAATGTACTAACATTATTTTTGGTACAGGTGGAAGTTCAAGAAGGATCACTGGTCTGCCCCGAATCAGGGAGAAAGTTCCCTATCAAAAATGGAATTCCAAATATGCTTCTTAATGAGGATGAAGTTTAAATGTGCTGTATTTATTCTCCATGTGGGCTGGAGGACATTGTGTGGGATTGGTACTTGAAGTTATTTGACCAGCTTAGAGGAATGAGACAAAAATCCTGGAGCTATACATCATGTTTGGGAGATTGGCAGTGGATTGGATTAATCTGAACTGCAACACAGACTTGTATAATGGGCAACAAATTTGCAGGCTCACAACAAGACTTGTATAGTGCTGTAAATAAATATGTAATAACATGTGGCTATTGCACTCTTTTTTTTAAATATACACCCAGCTGTAACCCTGATGAATAATACATGTACTTCTAAATTAAGAAAAGAGTATTTTTAAAGGTATTCTTTACTAGCAGTAGAAATAACACAAGAAATTTTGATAAATGTCAAGAACAAAAGGAGTAGAGTTGCCCTAACAGATTGGCAACCCACTTAAGACTCTGACCCCAAAGATCTTTGTTGGATTAATTAGCTTGCTTTCTTGGGAAATATACTTAAAGAATGGGTTTCAAAAGGCACATTTTTCTAGTCTGGCTAACCTGAAATTTTTTTTTAGTAAAAATCACATATCCTTTGGGGCTCAAATCATAGTGGAATTTTCATTTTGGAGAATTTTGTGGTTGCTTTATTGATACCCTTGAGTGAGTAATTTGATACTACCAAAGATTTCATGCCATTAAAGTTTCCTTTCACTGCAAAACTGATGTTTTACAAAAGTTTGATATTTGTTCAGGTGCACTTAATTTTTCCTTGACATGCCAAATTCAAGACAATGAATGACAATGAATCTCTAACATATGGAAAAACTAAATATCCAGACAGCAAAAGGACTTATCAGCATGGCTTGTATGATTTCCATTGCAAGTGCATAGCCAATTTTTGTTATCTTTAAGAGACTTGTTTTAATTAAAGTTACTGTCCTTGGATATGATGCGAGTTGACTTGGAGCCAGATGGTGGTTCCCCCAGCATTTTTTTTGACACATCTTTATAATCGTTGGTGAAACTAGGCACTTAAGAACTATCTTTGAAGAGGCCTTCAATCTAGATATCTTTATAAAGTGAGGCATTGTTACCTTAACCCTCTGACCCCTAAGAGTGATTAGCATCTAATTTCTCCTTACAATATCACCCCTGCATCACACATGAAGGTCATGAGAATAAAGGAAATGATTGCCAACCGAAAAAGCTCTTGATTATCAAGTGTTTATGGTGAACAGTGTGGAGAATATGGACACTAATGTTTGGGTGTAAAAAGTCGAAAACTTTAGGCCCAATTATTTTGCCTCATGGGTGAAACCATGTCATACTGATGCAACTGCCCTGTGTTAAGTGGTGGGGATAAAAAGCTTAGGAGAAAATAATTAAGTTTTGTGCACCCAAATGTCTTGGGCCTGGTTACCTAATAGTTAAATCGCTATCCAGTAGATAAGTGATAGTAAAACTTATAGTGTTTATTACTTATAGTGTTTATTGTTATCCATTGGGTAGAGATTTATCCAGTGGATAGTGTTATCCGATCTTTGATCATTGAGGGCCTGCCTCTCTCATTTCCTTTCCTGCCTCTCGTCAACTTAAGCTCTTGGGTTGGAGGATTTGGTTCTGTCACTTCTGATTCCCCCCCACCTCCACCCCACCCCCTCTGTAATGCTCTGAAATATTCTTATGATCCCTCATCATGGGCCATCAAATATTTTTTTGTCCACCCTCAACCCTTCAACTCCCACGAGTGACCAAGACAGAATTTCTCTTTACAATATCAATACAATATCAAGCAGACAAGTGATGAGAATAAAGAAAGATATCAGCTACGGGATTAAAAGTTGATCCAATACTAAATTCTGCAAACTAACATCACAAGAACTGTATGGTAGACATTAAGGAGAATTAATAATGAGACTCGGGAATTAAAGGGTCAATACGTTGTTGGTGATGTCTGATCCTTGCCTCATTCCCCCTGAAAACCTTGTGATTCCCTCAAAACTCCTCCTCATCCTCTGGGATGAATAATGTAAGGCAGTGGTTTTCTCTAAGGTTCCGGTAACTGAACAGGCCCATAAAGATGTTCTGTTTTCTTTCAAAATGGGAGTTTAAAAAGTTTGAAAACTCTGCAATATATCTATCAGTTTAAAAAATTTGACTTGTTAGAGTGCCAAAACCTGCCTCTATAATCTTAAAATTTTAACTTTAAAACATTGCTTTGGGCCATTAAGTTACCGGGATCTTCGAGAAATGGGGCCCTGGTCCTTAATGGTTATCAGTTGAAAATTACGCTAAATGTTCAGACACCAATTTTACAGCGCTCTTGAGAGGGCAAGGACTCTTGGTGGTTTTTTACACGACGGAGACCGCATTATTATTAGCGAGCCTTCGATTATAGCTGCTGACGTAGCAAAGAGTTGTGGTACATGTATATGATTCGTTTTCACCATGAAAATGCCGGTATTTACGGTAAGCTAAGGCTACTGATATTTGAACTTGCAGTATATTTCCCAAATGCTTTACTCAGTGAGGCGTTTCTTCTAGGAGCCGGACACGGACGAAGTTTTTGTAAATAACCTTTCCTCCTCTGATTACGATGACAGACTTCAAGCCGTAACGTAAGATCAGTGACTTTTTATGCTCTCGTAAATTTATTGTTGTGGGTTATGTAAGCTTAAATGTTACCTTCTGGAGTTCCATGAAGATATTCTCTTAGTAACAGAGTGTTATTTTTTATTTCTGCTCTGCGGTTAACAAATTCCGGCGAAGTCGTAATTGTCTATTTACTCACACAATTAATCTACAACTCAAGCTCGTCGTTAAGCTACAGAAGCTTACTCATATATATTTTAGGACAGCATGTAGCAAACATCTCTTGCATTTGTCTGAATTTTTACCCTAAAATTTTATCTTTTTATTGTTTCTAGATTTAAACATCTATGTTCTTACATAGTCTTGCATCAGTGTCTATACTGTTGTGGTTACAATTATATATATCACAGGTTACAAAGACTAAAGCTTTAGCGACACGATCTTACATTTAATGGGGAAGTCACTAAATGCTCTTGTGATCCCATGGTCCCAAATAAACTGCCCCTCAGTACTGGAATCCTTATAGTTTTTAAAGCTACTCCCAATTCTAGTAAACTTTTGTGTAGCCTTTAATGCTGACTGAAGAAGCCCTTTTCAATTAGTTCAGCCCCATTATAATTATTATATAACTATTTTCACCACCTGCTGTATCACCTCTTATCTCACAAGAGGTGCAGAATGATCTAGAAATCCGCGAAGGACTGATTCAAAATGACATTGCGAAGGCTGATAAGTCTGTGTGGGTCTGTCACAAAAAAAAACTTAAAACTTCTCAAAGTCAAGCTGCACCTTTTTATTTTTTCAAGTTAACAGATCATTTGATTTAAGTGCATTTTGTAATCATTCTTCCCAGTTTAGTTCTTCTCCACGTAAGTCCAAATCCCAGGCTTTAAATTATTCCACAGGGTAATGTACAGTATGTGATAATTATATCTGTGTGTAAAAAAACTATGTTAATTTGTTTCTATCTTAACTGTGGACACACACAATCAAAATGATAATCAAAAATATATTTGAAACCATTGTGGAGGCTTTCTTGATGGGCTTAATAAATAGATATTGTAGTAGGAGAATGAATATTAAAGCACATGTACCAATAACAAGAAAATATTTTCCATGTAAATTTAGAGTATTGATTGAAATATAGCAGGTTAAACCTCCTCAGCAACAGGAGCCACTATTCTCTTATATACAATGCCCATTGATTGCCCTGGGATCATTTATTTTCTGTCATTGCAGTAATATAAAGAATGCTGTCATTGGTAATAAGGCAAAGAAATCCTCATTCATCAGACTTGATATTATACCAAAGATACTTCAACTACTTATGCAAGATGATACTGGGATTGACTTTGTTGTGGAGTCAGTTGTACTGTTAGGGAGTCTGGCAAGAGGTAGGGCTTACCAACAATTTCCACTCTAAAATTGATATTTATATTCCCTATACAATTAGAGCTTTGGGAGTTTGGGGGTATAATCCAGAATCAGTATTTATTGTATTTTAGATTATACTGCTTTGATTTTCCTTTTATTCCCATTTTTTTTTGGTTAACAGGTTCAGCTGAGAATGTCCAAGCTCTTATAGATGCAAAATCTCTGGATGTGTTCTTAAAAGGTAAGTTGTTATAATTATTGGTTCTTATGTAGTAAATTGTCTTTCACTGTGATGAGCTAATGTTAACGAATCAGACAAATACATGTATCAGATTAACAGAAACAAGTATTCTTGGTTGAAACATTAACCATCTTTTTAAAGATGTAAGGTTATAGTACATGTAATTTATTGATAAATACATAAATGATTTCCTAACTGGGTAAGGTAAAGCTAAATTAAATCCTTTGGCCAGTTACAGCCATCCAGTCCTTTTAGGATTGCTCACCTTTATTCAGCTGGGAAAAAAATTCTCAAAGCTGGTTGGTTTACTTTGTAAGTAGCTTGTGGGGGGAATTTTTTTTTTCCTACAAGAAAAAAATTTCCAACAGTTTTAAACAGCAATCAAGGAACTGCAAAATGTGTGTGGATATTTGCTCCATTACGTCTATTTTTTTGGAGGTGTTTAAATTTTAGACCTGTAATGTCTTGGCCCATAAAAACTCATTAAAGAATGTAAAAATGGCCTTCATCTAGCTATCTTGACTGAACCAACTTGGGTGGTTATGCATGTAAACAATGCAGGGCTCCTGTATCTGCTTTTGGTCACCATGTCAACAACAAAACATTTGTTAACTAAAGTAACAGTGTAATTGGCCACTTTGGAACTTTTGTTCAGCAGTCAAGTTGCTGGCTGTAACATTTTTTAACTTCTAAGAGTCAGTGGTTAATTTTTCATTCCCTGAAGTGATTAACATACAACTTCTCCCTGTAATATCCATACATTATCCAGCAAACAGGTAATGAGAATACTTAAACTTATCAGGTAGAAGCTGTCATCTTGATCTACAGCAGTAGTACCAAACTCTTGTTACGTAATATTTACAAGAAAATGTTTAGTTGCTAGAGGGGAGAATTAAGAATCAGATCTTGGGATGAAAAGCAAAGCCAATGCCTGACTCCATGGTACTGAGTCATACTGGACACATTTTACTGAAAAAAAATTTACTTGTACCAAATAAATGATCTCTACAAGAATGCAGTCTTATCTCGATGGGGTGTATGTATGAGTAAGCCCTTGCCTGTTTATTGTTGTGGCAGGAATTTGTCATTCAGATTCTCGAGTTGTTGAAGCATCTGTCAGATCACTGAGGACAGTCTATGAATCTTCATGTGTACCAGTCATTGAGGTTAGTTTGTTTAGAGTATATGCCTCCCTATCTTTTCTGTTTCGTAGTGTAGATGTAAAATTGCAAAGTTTTATTCGGATTGTGTACTCTTCATCTACAACTGATTCCTGTATTAATCTCATTAATAACTCAAACTGAGATTCAAGACTCCCAAAAAGTGTGAAGAGTAAAGACAAATTATTAAAAGAAAAGGAAAGAAATCTGGAGTTTTTTCCATGGTTCATGCAAGAAGTACCCAATTGATAAGTGAGGTCTTAATGAAGTTGGAAGAGTGGAGGTCTCTTAAATTTACTTAAGCAAGAATGTTTTATAAGCAGGATGCAATAATTTACAATTTTAAGGCAAACACTCACTCATGGATCTTCTGTGGTGCATCCAAGATCTAACACTTACAGTTGTGAGTGTATAAATTGTGAAAATTACTCCAACTAACTAAATTCTCCCAACTCATGTTTGTTTTTCGATTGTGTTTTGTAGTTTTTATTATATTGCATGTCACATTAAATGTTACTTTACAAAAATTTTTTATAATTATTTGACTTAATTCTCAGGATCAAAGCATAGTACCACAGCTTGTCGACCTGTTGTCTAGTTCTTTGTCTAATGCGGAGGGAGCTGCAGCAATCTTATCCAAATGTTGTCAGGTAAACAGAGATTGTTACAGCATATACTGTTTAAATTTCTATGATTGGTACTTTCCAATAAATACACCTTATATTTCTTGAGCTGTTCCTATGTTTTTCACTCAAAGCTCTAAATTACCTGAAAAGTAGTTATTTAAAGAAACAAGTGAAACAGGATTAAATATGATATGCAATTTTAAATTGATTACAACAAAAAATGCAACTCCAGGAATCTTTACAGTGTAGCTGTGGCCTGCTTTATGCTCTGCATGAGGCCTGTGCAGAGTGTTGGCTCTTAGCTTGTATCCAGGTGAACACCTATCATAGTGTTTTTGTGCCATTCTGCAATCATAATGTGAGAGAATGTTCATCATGAAGAAAGTCCATTACTTTCATGTTTGAATCAAAACTCTGACTTACAACTTGGCTGAAATGTTTTTAATCTACTCTTACCTTTGAAGTAAATATCTCAAAATGAAAAATGCCAGCCCCTGGCAAACCTCTCCCTGACTCATCTCAGATTTTCCTGTCTGAAGAGAATAGCTTAAAAAAATTTCTTGGGAAAGGGGTAAATTAGGAGCTTGAGTTTTAATTGAAAGTAAAAATTGCATTTTGTCAGGTACATTTTCTGTGGAGGACATTTCATCTCTTGTTAACATTCAATTACATTTTACTTTTAGGGTCCAGCACATCAGGCTTTGTTATGTAATATGGGAGCTGTCACAGCCTTACTGCCACTTTTGGTCTGTGATATTCCCAAGATACAACAGCCAGCACTTCAGTGCTATGCATCTATGTCATTTCAAAATGGGGCTGTGTCAATTGCTATGAAGTCAGGTAATGACCAGAAAATTGATATTAACAACCTAATTTTTTTATGTACTATTTAAAGGTGTATTACTGTCAAACCTGTATTAAGCAGTCACCCACAGGGAATGGTAGGGCCACTGCTTAATACAGGTTGACCGCTTAACAGGAGTTCCACAGATTAGAGGTGTTATAAAAAGTGGTAAACAATGCCGCTTTATGCCATAATTGAGCATTTATTGTACAGAATCTTTCTCCAAAATACTACTGGTACTTTAATTTTGAGAGAGGAACAAGGATTAAAAATTACTCATCGCCGAATAGTTATTCTTTCAGTGACCATTCAATACAAGCAGAAGACAATAAAAATAGGCAGTTGGGACTTAATTAAGGGTGACCATGACCATTTAATAGAGGTGGCTGCCTAATAGAGGTGAAAATTACAGTGATTAAGGGGAAACTTTCTGCTTTCTGTAGTACAGGGTAACTGCTTAAAATAGGGTGCCACTTAACTGGCCTTTAACTCATGAGATCTCATTACTAATTCTCCTTTCTGTCTGCCATACAGTTCTTGTAATGTTAGTTTGGAGAATTTGATATTGGATCAACATACATACATGTATAATTCCCTAATTGATATTTTTCTTTATTTTCATCACTTGTCTGCTCGATATTTTAATGATATATTAAGGAGAAATTCTTTCAGGTTCAACTTTTGCTACAAACAGCCTTTATCACTGTACAGTACTGCAAGAGTGTAAAAGCATAACACATTTTTTGTTCTTAATTCAATTTTTTGGCTATTTTTTGCAAACCCAAAGCAACACATCAAGGTGAGCAGCTGGTTCAAATATTTACTAAGCTGCTGTCAAGAGACAGACCCGATGAGATTCAGCTTGGAGCTGCAAAGTGGTGGGTATCTATCTGATCATCCAACTGTCTGTTTGTAGTGTCTTTTACTCCTTCCTTCCTTCCATCTGTTTTTGATGTGGTCTTTGTTTCTTTGTGTCCACCAGTCTCTCTTTCCATCTTTTCATCCATCTGTCTATCTCTCTACCCACCTGCTTGTCTGTCTACCAAACTGCGTGCTTATGTGCCTTTCCTAAATTCTTTTATTTTTGCTGGTCCAATCCATCTTTCTTTCTGGCTGTTTATCTGTTTGTCTGCTTGTCAGTCAATCTATCTGTCCATGTAATCCCTTTTGCCTTTCTGGGTCCTTGAAATTCAATCTGTCTTTCTATCAACATGTTCTTAACGGTATCCTTTAACTGTACGTACATGGTGCAGTTATGCTGTTTGAATGAATTATTTGAGTTTCTGTCTCTCTGACTAATTTAAGAAATTAATGTACACTGTACATTGCAGTTTGACAAACATGCACAGGGCAGGGGCAGTACCAGCAGCAGAACATCATGCGCTACTGATCAAGGTGTGTATAGACCTACTTGCAGTCATGTTGTTACTCATTGAACCTAACTTCAGTTTTCAGCCTTATCTTCTCACTTCGATTCCTAGCCTGGGTTGTTCAAAGCTGGGTTAAGATAACCCAGGGTTAGGGTGAAATTTGATTTCAGGTCTGAAAGCTTTAAAAGAAAATTCAATTCAAATCATTTTTGCTTGCAATTTGGTCATTGGATGGTCTAAAAGAATAGGGAATATTCTTCCTAAATGGCTTTTGAACAAAGAAATATAGAAACCTGGATGAAATTTAAGTCTGGGTTAGTGCCAATCAGCCTTTAAACAACTGGGCCCTGTAGTATATTGTTTGAAGGGAGGGGAGGGGAGGGGACTCTCATTGAGAGGGATGAAAGGATGTTTGTTTTCTTGCCTACAGTACATTGTATGTGCACCTGTCACAGTGTTTTGTCTCACTTGGGTAGCCTTGGAAAAATATCCAATATTTCTTGTTCCTTGTCAAGTTATTTTTTAGAGTCTTGGTTGATTTGGAAGGAAAGGGTGTCTGTTATTGAAATTGTGTAGCTTATGGAGTTCTTGTGTCTCTCTTGAAGGGATTAGATTCAATTCAAATGTCTCTGCTTCCAACATTCTGATAGATCATGGTGTACAATGATTTATACTGTACATACAGAGCATAAACTACATGACCGTGAGTTTTTAAAACACTGAACACAAATAAATGTACAAGAAATACGTATGTACTATCAAGAAGGTGTGATGGCAGTTCTGACTCCTTTCTGCAATTCAGTGGGTTGAATTATTTTTGCCTCCATTTATAATTGGTAAATATGATGTCAACACAATACAAGTGAGTGATTACTTTTTAAGGTTCTTGCCACAGTGGTCAGAATGTGTAAATTGGACAAAAACCTCACCGTCAGAGCTGAGGCAGCAGAGACATTAGGTTAGTTTTGATGAAATCGTTTTTTTTTTTTTGTAAGGGTAGAGGTAATGGTTTATATTGAAATTTTGCATTTAACTCATTGATCACAATGAAAAGTTCAACCTTGTGTTTCTGTTTGAGAGGCAAATGACATACAGTGCCTTAGTTCATCCTAGGGTATGTAGCATGCAGTTACTAGGAACATTTCCAGACAGAATTGATGTAGATTTATCAATAGGATAATGTAGGTTGCCAGGTTTCCCTCGGCTGACAGTTTTTATAGTCATCATGAGAGAGAGAGAGAGAAATGCGCTGTTATAAATTAGTGTTCTACCTAAGAACACATAAAGATGACCCTCTTTCAGGCTCGATCCAGGACATTTTTTTCCTCAATCAACTTGTTATTCAACACTCACACTACAATTGCCTCAAAGAGTTTTGATTCTAGGAGAACTGGTGTGAAAATTGGGGTTGAAACCCAATTACTTTAATACTTAAAAGAAAACACAGTCCTGTTAGCGGGTTAGAGTGCAATTCAACAGCCAATCAGAGGAAAGGAAAATATCACAACGAGCCAATGAGAATTGATAATGGAAAGCATACTGCTCAAAGCGCGGGAAAACGCGTGTGTTGAGGCCGCGATTGGTTTTGGTTTTGAAACTGATTAGTTGAGAGGATAGCGCGAGTTTCCTGAATCAATCAGAGGGCGTAGAAAAGTTAAACCAATTTAATCCTTGATTACTTTCGACACTCAATTGAGAATTGTTATATTAAAAAATTGCTATTTATGTTGGTCCACTGGACCATTCAAACAATAGTTCTTGGTACAGATACAGGTTAGTGTATGAAACTGCCTTTAAGAGTCCACTATTTGATTCGCCAATTCTTTTAGCATTCCTCATTGAAGAAGACACAGAGCTGCAGAGGACGGCAGCCATTTCTGATCACTTGATTAAAACGCTAACTGGCTTCTTGGTCAAAAGTGACTTGGACGACAGCTCTTACGCTCTCATGAGAGAGGTGGGTATAACCACATACGGGCAGGGGAAGAGTGGGGGAGAAATGGGGAGGGCAGCCTTTCTCAGGTTGTTATTCTTCTTGAAACAGTGTAGGGTTGCATAAGGTTTCAGAAGTTTAATCCAGGGTAAAGTACATTCAAAGTTTTCCCTGCAATGATCACAGAGCCATATTTAAGTGTTAAATTTGTCTTCACGTACGCATACTTCCTTTTCAAACCTCGAGTTTGCCACTCAATTTCTTGTAAGCGACTGATGGACGCGTACATCTCTAGTCTCTGCCCACGAGAACCTTTTCCACTAGCGGCGAGCCTCACTTGCAGAGGGTTACCGCTACCGCTTGAAAGAGGTGACCGCCTAATTAAGGTGAAAATTACAGTTTAAAGTTGCAGAAAATTCCACTTCGGGACTTTGACAACTGACCGCTTAATACCGTGCCGCTAAATACGGGTTCGACTGTATTTGTTATTATTGTTATTATTTTTATGTAACTATTTATTCATTTTTTATAGAGTGCATTCAAAGCTCTTGCCTCTGTTGGCGCAAACGATGAAGACATCAGGAAAAAGGTGACAAAAGTTCTTTTGGCCGCCTAACTCCCTTGAGTGATCAAGACAGAATTTCCCCTTATTAAATCAATACAAAATCAAGCTGACAAGGAATGAGGATAGACAAAAATATCAAATAGGGTTTTATCAGGTGATCCAATACTAAATTCTTTTAACCAATGTCACAATTATTGTATGGCAGACAATAAGGAGAATTACTGACAAGATCTTGGGAGTGAACAAGATTTAAGCTCTTCTGCAAGATAAGGTTCTTCAAGATATGTTTTTGATTCGGGAGCCGACTCTCTTATTTTCTTCCTTGTAACCGTTTGTTAATGTTTGAAAGTGTATTAGATTGAACGACATGAATTGCTCTGCAGATTATTGATATCGAATGCACCATGGATCACGTGGTGTCCGGTCTAGAGGATCCCAACACAAATGTCAAGTTAGCTGCAGTGAAGTGTCTCCACAGCCTGTCGCGTTCTGTGCAACAGTTAAGAACTAGTTTCCAGGACACGGCGGTTTGGAAGCCCATTATGAAATTACTTCAGGACGCCAATGATAACATGATGACTGTGGCCTCCTCTGCACTCTGTAATCTGTTGCTGGAATTCTCTCCCAGTAAAGAGGTAAATATGGAAGTTATAGCCTAGTCAATACACGTTCATCGAACCATCACTGTCTGGGTACTTTATCCCACAAACTCAAAGTGCATTGTCATATTTCAGGAGGAAATTAGTAGAATAATTTCAACGAAAGCCATTCCATGTTCATACTTATCCTTTTTTCTTTGTTTAAGAACTTACAAATATTAAACTTTCCTGATATTTATTTCAATTTGCCAAGTTTGTGTTTCTATATAAAATAGCCATTCTTCTTAATGTAGTTATAGAAATATTTTTATTTACAATTTGAATCAAATTTATTCGAACAATACTACAAACTCTGATATCTGTTGGTTATTTTATGCTCGAATTAATATAAGACGGTTTGCCATAAAATTTCAGGCACCAAAAGTACTTAATTCTTTTAACCACAATATACAAAGTACCCCTACCGTCTCTCGTTTTAAATCTACGAGTATTGCTCCTTTCCTGATTCTCTTCAAGTAAATATAATTTGCTGTTTTTTTGTCTTTAGTCTGTCTGCACGCGTGCTTTTTGTGTGATTGTGTTTGTGTTTTTGTGTATTTTTCTTTTTGAACAGTCATTTTTCGTTCCTTTTTATCTTAATTATGTTTTGTTAATAGTAGTCCACGCATGATAACTTTATTTTTGATCTATGTGAGTGGGGAGCTCATTGTCAAGAGCCCCATGGTTTCCAAATGAGCTTCCTTGCCAGGAATACGAAAAAAAACATATATTATTCACGTATAATTATTGTAAATATTTTCTTGCGAAATAAATCAGTCAATCAAATCAAGGCCATGACTTGACACACCAAACGTTGAGATGTCGTACGAACCAAATGGCCCACTATGCTAGAACTTATCATGGTTCCTGTGGCATGACGCCACTGGGAGTCTTGCTATTCCTCCTATGAGGGGTGCAAATCTATTACAGTTAAATTTTACCCCCTCTCCCCCCTCGCTCCTAAGATTTTTTTCAGTGTACCTGTTAGTTCTTGGTTCCCCTTTATCTTCATGGGTGGAGAGAGTCTTGCTCATATGTGGATTGTGAGCAAGGTCATCGTGAATGTGAACTGGCATTTAACAAGCACCCTTACAGTGCCACTCAAGAAGTAAAATGTTGAAATAGTAACTGTATTTTCACTTTCTATTTCAGCCCATATTAGAAGCAGGAGCCGTCAACTTGTTGTCAAATTTAACCAGGCGCTCAGAAACTGCACTGCGATTGAACGGGGTTTGGGCTCTAATGGTAAGATTTATGAATTATCACTATTCTTTTCTCCTTATTGGGAGTGCAGTCCAACGTACAACGCAGTTTAAGTTCATAAGAGAACTCGCTAATATCCCGCCATGTGATTAACTCGAGCGATGAACAAGGTGTTTTTTCTCTTGTTACACTTCGTAGAATATGGCTTACCAAGCAGATGAAGGAACTAAAAATAAAATCCTTGAAGTGTTGGGACCCGAGCAGCTGTTCAGGTTGGTAACTTGTGAAAAGGTCTAAAAGAAGTCATGTGTAATAGTTGGAGCAGTAGAACAATTTTCGACCCGTATCAGATTCGCTTTCTTTCAGAAAAGCAATAAAATATAGCTCTACAAACTAGAGAGTGCCTCTTTCTGCTTTAAACCTCAGTAGATCTGATCGCCATCACACCAAGGTTTTTCTTCTCGTGCAATTTAGTGACTTCGTTTTTCAATGTATGTATGTACAGCTTGTTTTTTCTCAATTCACACCACTGCAAGTAGGCTATAAAAAAATATAAGCTTTTTGTTTTCATTTTGCAGCCTTCTTGATGATCCAGACACACAAGTGACGATGAAAACGCTGGGTCTGATGAGGAATCTGTTGTCAGGGCGTGAGGTAATTAGCAGTTCTTTGATATGAAAAATACTTTCTTGACCAAGCTTGCTTTGTCATTAAAGGTATTTATGAACTAAATTGAACCGTTATCAAAAAATTGTACAGAAATACCCGTATGAGGGCCGTGCGCCATGGTGTGCAAGGGCCGTACAGAAGCTATACTGCCTCGCGAGCTAAAAGAAGAAAGGGAAAAAAAAATGAGCGACGGCCAAACTTATTCCCGACCGACCCTACCACTCAGTCAATAAGTCAAGTTTTTTTGATAATTTCTTACGCTTTTGTTTATTTTTATAAGTAGTCTGCATTGTTCCGCAAACGTAAGTGATACGCATACAAAATTAATCTACTGTGTTTATCTGTTGTTACTTAGAAAACGTTTTTTCTAACTGTCGCTGATATAGTTAGATACAGTGCACGACTTACAAATTCACAATGTTTCTTAAAATAAACTACCAACAGTACATTACTGTAGGGGAATGGTTTGAAAATAGAACAAACTTCACTCGGGTGATTAAACCAAACCTTTTGGTTTCATACGCTAAACTCTTGACATGTAATTTTCAAGAAAACGCCAACATAAAGACCCCAACAATAATCAAGAAGTCGTTTGAATTTCGAATCAGTTGAGGGAAAGATATTATATGAAATTCATCTTTTTATAAACATTGATTTACGCAATATTAATGTTTTAAAACTTGAACACTACGTATGGTAAATTGTTGAAAGGTCTGAATAGTTAATTTGGTTTCGTTTCGCGAATAAGATTACTTTCTGATTCTGGTGAGTAACAAGGACAACTGAAGCATTTCTTTATTGCTTTAAATTTTTCCTCCGTTTTATACCTCCTCTTCAAGGAGCTGTTTAATTATTTTAATGGCCGTTCGTAGCCGTTCTTTGGAATTTTTCGTGACTCTTTCTTTTGCTTGGTATGTTGCGTGATATCCTTAAGAACAGCTGCCAATTAGACTATTAACAAGTAACAATTTGTGGGTGGAGTTGAATGTCAAACACTTGTGGGAAGGTTAAGATACAGAGTATGCCCCATTAGTGAACACGCTTTGAGCCACAGAATGCGATGTCACATTAGAGGGAGTATTCGAGAGATTTCTTGCTCTTATTTGCCTGACTGTTATGTGAGGCATAGCGTAGTACAGTCTCTGCCAGAACCACTTGTTGTTGACACTGAGATACGTGTTAGTGCGCATGTATAATTTCATTTCTTCATCAAGCTCGTCCATGTTCACGTCATCTAGCAAAATGATGATTAGATAATTAGTACGTTCCTCCAGAACTTTCCGATGTGCGGCGCGGAATTCCAGCAAGCACCACTCGCTTTTTAAGAAGTTATTGGATAACACCATGATCATTCGCTTGCTTTGGTCGACGCTCTTGAAAATATTTTCTTGTATTGTTTTACCCACTTGGAAGTCGCGGTCATGGACACACAGTTTGTAGGGGGGGTCGTGATTTTCAAGTCTGTCCCATAAAGTGTTTGACACCCAACGGTGGTCATTGCCATTGTAAGACACAAACGCATCGTATAGTTTACTTGGGTCGGAGTCGTCTATGCGATCAAATGGGTGCCAGTTGAAGTGAGTGAACATGAACACTTTCATTTCTCCGCGGTACTTGAAAATCACGAAGAAAACGATAAAAGTCAAAACCAGCGCACCTGCAAGAGTCAAAGCGATGACTTTATACTCAGTACCCATTGTTGTGGACGGCGTATTTGTATCATCGTTGGCAGAAATTTGACAAACAAACTCATCATCTGGTAGGCTGTAAATTGCTTTCCCTTGAGCATTCTCGGAGTTGCACAAAACGTTTTCCATGTTTTGAATTTTACTTGACTCTCTTAGCAACCAGTACTTCATCCATTTTGTTGTACAGTCGCACTTGAAGAAATTGTGGTTTATCGCGAGAATGGTGAAATTGACGTCTTCAATGTTCCGCGGTAAACTGGTCAGCTTATTCGAATCAATGAAAAGAATTTTAGTTTGCGTTAACTTTCTTACTATGGACTCGTTTACGACATGGATATCGTTTTCAGTGAGATAAAGTGCTGAAACGTTTTCTAAATAGGAATGTGGAAGAATCTCCCGGATGTTATTGTTCTCTGCATGAAGAACTAGATTACCTCTTGGAACCTTGGAAGGAAGCTCAGTAAGGTTTCTTCCTTTGCAGTCGATGACCACAGCTTCATCCATGGCTCGTACATAACACAAACATCTTTGAGGACAGTTTTTGAGATTTCTCTGGCATTTGAACTCGTCTTCGTGTACAGATAGTATAGGTTTATCCTTAACTTCATCAGGAGCCGTGCATTTCCAAGTTTCAAAGTGCACATTTTGAATACGCGGATGCTTCAGCATCAATGATCGAAGCCAGCGAGTCAAAACCAAGATATCGCAATCACACTTCAGGAGGTTCCCAGTCATGTCGATTGTATAAATTTGCAGGAGAAACTCAAACAGACCTATCTCTGTTTTGTTGAGTGTCTTGACGTTTATTTTCGAAAATTTATTATAGGCAAAGCTGATTTGATTGAAGCTTTCCTTTAGTCTAAACCGGACTGAACTTGCCGTATCACGATGGTGGTACAAAAACGTGTTTAAGTCTATTTGCTTGAAGAGGTTTCTAAGATCTTGAAAATTCAATTCATTGAATGACAGATTTATTTCTGTAGCATGTCGTTGCAGGAGTAAAGATGAAGGAATCCGCGTTATTTTGTTGTTTTGGAGGTTAATCTTTTGCAAAGAACTTGAATCGGTGGGAAAAGCGTCATCATCCACAAGAGTGATTTGATTATCATTTAAATTCAATATTTCACAAGATTTCAAGTTGGTGAACAATTCATTTTGAACGAAGCTCAGTTTGTTACTTCCTAAGTCAATTCTTTTGATGTTTGTGAGGTTTTTAAAAAGTTGGATCGGTAAAGACGAGATATTGTTGTGATCTAGTCGTAATTTCAGGAGACTTCGGAGTCCTTGGAATAATTGTGAAGGCAAATCATTCAATTTGTTATTTCTTAGGTTTATTACTTGTATTCCATTCAAACCGAGGAAACACTTTGGTCCAACTGCTTTTAGTCCATTTCCCTCTAGATTTAAAGCATTTAGAAGTCCTTTAAATTCGTGGGTCGCCAAATCTACGATGTTGTTATACGACAAATCGAAGAATCGTCGGTACAACTTCGGATTAACGATGGTGCCGAATTGATAGTGGTGATTTGCAGTTGGCGTTCTCTCCAGTCCTCTCGGCAGTTCAAGTGTGGTGTTGCACCAAGGAAATGGCGGTGGTCTTGAAAAATTGTTGTGAGAAACCTCTAGAGACTGAAGTAGCGGCATGATGTTATTTAGGTTTACAGGGATTGAGGAAAGCTGTAAATTGGAAAGTGAGACTTCGGCCATCTTTGGCCAGACGTATTTCCTAAAAATTCTGGGGATGCCTCGCGGGTTAGAGTTGTCAATAGCAAGAGAACCAATGTTTTTCAGTGCTCGACGTGAGCTAGTTTTTAATGTTTCGTTCGTTTCCATTAAAGTTGTGTTCGCCATTGCGTAGAACACCCGAAAATCTGTGGCTTGCCCCCAGACAGATAGGGCCTCTACTGAAATGCGGCAATGTCTCATGATCTGCATGTAGGATATGATGTTTTTCTTGGTGACGTTTAAAGAATTGTTAAAAGAAATTTGCGTCGGAGTTAAACAGTCGGTGACAAAGTACAGCACGACATCGCTGCTGGCCGGTAGTAATTTTAAAATCTGGTTTATGTCCATGGTACATGGTTCACCCGTGCTGCTCTTCATCGAACATACAACCCTTTGTGTTGGAACTTTCACGAATAGAGTGGGTGCCTTCTTCCAGTCGCAGTGGCGAAATGCATCACAGTGTTTTGATCCCGCACTTTTTTGGCTGGTGACTTTGACCATGCAGAAGGTTAAAACACAAATTATTATTTGATGATATCCTTTCATTTCAAACGCAAGAGAGCGGCGTAGTGGTCACGACTATCTAAATTGGATTAAACACGCAGCTGAAAATTTTGCAGCCATCCATGTGCAATATTTATCACCAGTTCTTTTTTCTTCCGTTTCCTCTAAATTGACAATGATAAATGTAATGTTTCAGCAGTGTTGGTCTGTTTCTGCGAGAGAATGTCTTAGCGTGAATACGACGTGAAGTCCTTCGATCTTTCCGTTCGTCCTCCTCGGGCTTAAGATCCAAATGACTTGATTTACGTGATGATTTGCGTGATGATATTTATACTTTTCGTTTCAGATTGTCTCAGACGATAATAGGAACAAACATCTATAAATAGACCCATTTATTTTTTTTTCACAGTTCCTCCTCGAGGAGATTACTTCAACTTATAGTGTTACTGAGTGTTGGACTTAAGAAATCGCGTTGATTTTGACGAAAAATTGGGAAGAATATTATTTTTTCAATTAAATTTTATTCTTCGAAGAGAAATACGAAAGTGAACGAGATGTGATGGGTAGGGGAATCCCCGCTGAAGCTTACCTAAGTTTACTTCAGCGGAAGCCATTTGTTGTTGAACATACTGTGTGACCTTGTAAGTGTTTGGTGCCATAAAATAAGTTGAGTTAAGGGTTGAGAAAAGGGTTGAGAAATGAGCCCTTTCGGACAAAAGCGAAGTATGTTAGATTCAGGGAGATTTATTTGTATCTTTGACTGTCGGTTTCCAGCATAATCCAAACAAGACTTGAAGAGTATTTCCGCGACATTTGCTAGTGATTGGCACACGATTAGCATTCTAAGAAATTTTGGAAAATTTTAGATGCGAAATAGTGGTTGATCACGTAGAAGTGTGTCAGATAGGAGATGTAGAATCGAATTGTGCTCTAAGACGAATCAATACCCTCCTTTAAACGAGTTTTCAACCTTCGAAACGTTTGAGACAAGAATTTCGATTACGTACGTGAGAGAAAACATTGTAGTTGAAATATATTCTATGTTAATTTGGTTCTATAATCTGCAGGATCCATTGTACAATTGAGGGTCATATCACTAGGTTTCAAATCCAGACAGGGGCCTTTGGAATGTCCTTTGTCCGACTTTAACTCTGTCAGTAATTGAAAAGTTCCTTTCAGTATGTTTTATTTAGCCCGCGTCGGTCGTCAATATCCCCTACTTTGATTTTGTCACATTGAATACTTGTCTAACTTTTTCATTCAGCTAATCATCGTTTAGGGTAATTTAGTATTATCAACTTAGTCAATAACGTAAATTGGCCATCGTAAATAGTTTAAAAGCTGACGTTTCGAGCATTAGCCTTTGTCAACGCTTTACGGTGGCCAATTTACCTTATCGACTGAGTTGATTATACTCTCCCACCGACGCAGCACCACAGTTTCTTTAGAAACTTACTTCCTTTATATTCGCCATTTTGGACAGCTTGTATTTTCTTCGCTCATTTGCATACGATGTAAAACAAATAACAGGCGTCTGCTAGGTTACAGTGTAATCTCCAGCCGGTTGTTAGAGGCTAGCGTTAGGGTTTATTTTGGGGTAAGGCATGAGGTATAAAAAACTGCCAAAATTTACACAATCCAAGATTAAGTTTATCAAATTTTAAACTACTTAACATTGGAGTTTTACTCCGACGCAGCGAGTTCGTTCATCGGCTATTTTTTGCCAAATATTATTTGACCGAGGGACACATTGTGAATCCTTGAATCCACTCCTCCCCTCGATAAAGCGCAATAAATCGGTCGATCATAGAAAATTTTTCCTATTAAATCAGAGTGCGAAATGCAATTGTTTTCGAGAGTTAGTACGTTCATCTCTCAAATTTAATAATAAAGTTGCCAGGAGTAGATTCAAGCAAAGAAGAACAAGTGGCCCGTTGGGGAACGGTCCTTCATTTGAGCACAAAATTTTATTAATTCGATTTCCTTCCTTGATCTACTTGTACCTCAGGATATTGATCGTATCATGCTCCTTCATGGCGCGCGGATTATGGATAGTGTGAAGCCGATACTGGACAGTGAGACACGCACTGAGGATGTCAAAGAACAGGTACAGGAGAGAGAGATCACTAGAAGCCCATTTCTCAATTTGGCTGTATCATTTATAATTTCCTTAGTTTTCGTGAACACCTGACCTGGTGCCATCTTGTAAGTGGTCGATTAAGCACCCGCTTCGCAAAAGTGCCCCTTTAAGGTGATCCCCCTCCGTTAACTGAGAAGGACCAATTTTTTGCAAGTCTTCTTTATGCCACCGAGTATTTGTTTTTTTATTTATCATATGCGAAGCGAAATAACTGAATGCTGATTGGCTGACGTAGGGGGCATTTTATTCTTAAACGCGAGGGAACTTTTGGTAATCAAGAGGGCGTGATTATCTGATGCTGATTGAGCCTCTTTGCTGTTAGCGGCAATAATTTACTGATTGCAGTTTAACTGAATGAAGCCGTGTTACATTGTTAATTGTATTTTGAGAATAAGATGTTCAGTGAATATGTTGGTCAGCTACGTCTGTTGTGTCACTTTTGGCGGCATTTAAAGGGCTTCATCGCGCGGAAATCGTGCGCGAATACGATTCCCTCAAATATTTTTCCCTTTACGTAAAAACAAGTAATCGCTATTGCACTCGGGCTTTGCGACTCGGGCAATTTTGTGAAAACTTTGAAAATACGCGTAAATTAATCTTTAATTGTCTTCGGGCCCATGCTATTACACATACTTATTTATTCTTTTACTATTTTGTTTCGTGTTTCTAGGCGTTGTGCGTGATCGCCAACATCGCCAATGGTTCCTCAGCCAAGGAATTTGTGATGAGAGACGAGATTCTGCTCAAACGACTCATGCATTACATGATGAACGACAGCGTTAAGCTACAAATGGCAGCCACATACTGTGTCTCCAACCTGGTGTGGAGCACAGAAGAGGGTGCTGTGGACAGACAGCAAAAGCTTCGCGATCTTGGAGTGCAAAAATTACTGCAGTCCCTGCTTACAACATCAGACGTCAATCTGTTTGAAAGGTACGGCCGTGATTTCTTGTCGGAAGGTTTATTAGTAAAGGTACTTCAAGAGCTAATTTAGGATTACACGAGAGCCCTATCTGGGACTTGTTTCAAGTTAAGCCACGGATGGTAAACGGAGAACGGATGCCACTACCTTTGGCCTCCTTTGCGGACCAAAATCAATCAGTTGGTACTTTCTGACCTATACAACAGTTTTTGGCGAATATTATATATTATTTCCTGAGAGAGGATTGTTCAGTTTCGCGTTTTTGTTTTTGAGAATTAAGGAATGTAGACATCGTTTAAAAGACAAGTCATCGCTTGAAGGGCCGCTGCGAATCAGATGCAATTAGAGAAACATAGCACAGACCGTACGTACGGAGAACAAACTATAGGCATAAATTCAAGCTTTAACAAGCACATAGGGATGCGATTTATTACCAGGGCTTCTTGTTGGAGAGCTCATTAAAAAATTCACTAGGAGCTAAAATGCGGATCATTTTTTGAACTGAAGTGTTGCCAGGCTTCAATAGTTATTACTTAACGTCCACAGTGTTATTTCTCCGCTAAAATTGCAAAAAACGGAGTAGTGGTATAGCCTTTCTAATGCAAGCATAATTTTCTTTTGGGCTTAAAGGCTGCCTCTTGCTGTTTAATAACGATAGCACTCTCCAACCCTCTGTGGAGCATCGTCATCTTACCTTGTGCATTTTATTTGGGAGTTTTGTTTCAAGGAGAGGGATTAAGAGCAGACACTTGTTTTGTGTTTTGATAAAGATGCTTTATTGGAGAAGGAGGCTTATTGGAGAGAGGAGTTTATTGGACAAAGGGGCTCATCGGAGAAAGAGGCTTTTTTTTTGTAGGGGGACTTTTTTGGGAAAGGGGGTTAATTAGAGAGAGGAGCTTTTTTGGAGAGAGGCTTTTTTGGGAGAGGGTCTTTTTTGGGAGAGAGGCTCATTGGAGAGAGGGGCTTCTCAAGTAGGAAGTGTTTACGGTACTTCTTCATGGTATGGAGTATTACAGTGTACACTGACTTCTTGGGAGTAGATTGTGGTTCAAAGGCATCTTATATCTCGTTCTTTTTTCCTTTTATTAACAGTTTTATTTCCTTATGTCTTCACAGGGTTAAAACTGCACTTCAACAGTTCACGTGACGCTATGACGCCAACGGAATTCCTGTACAAAGTTCAGCTTTTTAATAAAATGGTCATTGTTTCCACTTTCCACTAGTTATAGCAAAGCAATAACATAAACAATGATGAAAATAATAGTAACGATAATAAAATTGATAAGAATAAGTACAATGATAATATATTCGTAAACAAGTTAAACTTTCACCTTTGACCGTCTTTCTAAAAGCATAGGGTGTCCCAACGAAGAGCAGCAATTCTCTTAGATTCTATCACACCTTTCCTACTTCTGAACCGTTTTGTGCAACAACTAACTGGATTTTTAGTGGCATATGGGTAACTGATTACACAAAAGAAAGTTAACTGTTAACAGTCACCTTGGAACTACCATCAAAGTTTATTTGGGAGTTAAAAACCTTCAATTTGGTTCAAACTTGTTATTGTATGAATAATGGTAATAAGAGTCTAATTTGGTTTGTAATCATGTGAATGATTAATAAAATCGGACGACCGCGAAGCGGGAGTCCGATTTGTTAATTACGAGTATAATTACAGACAGAATTGGACGAAACGAAGACTGGAAGACTGTGAGTTGGCTGTAATCCGACAGTTGAAGCAGCCAATCATACCAAGTTCACTCGGCTAAATCTACCAATCACAGAAGTGATCACAATAACTGTAGCAACAACCACTTCTCCGAAGAAAAACTGGGGAATTTCAAAAATGGAGGAACTTTTTACTTTAGCCATTGTCTTCACCGGAGATATTTGTTCCAGATAAGTTTGTTTTTTCGGAAATTGTAATGGTTATGATTAATTGGTAACAGGACTTCGTGTCGTCCTATTCTGTCTGAGTCCGATTTTGTCAATCACTCATATGATTACAGACCGAATTGCAAGACTCCGCTCATTCTTATTACCATTATTACAAAGCAATTTGTGAAAAATAAAGCGGTTAGTACACCAATCACATTTAAGGAAATAGTAATGGTTATGATTAATGCTGAGATAGTGCATGCTAAAGTGTTGTGGTAAATTACTCTCTTGCTCATCTTGTTGCGCAAACAGTGAGCCTTTAGAGTAGCAAACTCAACTTAAGGCTTATCTTCAGGAAGGCATTTTTTACGAAGATACGAAATGTAAACTGGTAATGTACAGTACCAGCGTCTTACAGATGCCCACAAGTAACAAAAGAAAGGACGGGCGGAGTGACGGTTCTCTTACGCGTACCATGCATACACATCAACACAAGCTGAACCACTGTTCTGTCTTTCCGAACAGTCTTTCAAATCCTGCCCATACCATATCTGCAACTCTTGATTTCGAGACACAGACAATGGACTGGAAAGGTTACGGAAAACTAGCACTGTAGAATTGTGGCTAGTCTCACCAAGACTGTAGAAGTGTTTCTTGGTGCTACACCCGTGAAGTTTTGAGGCAGGAAAACCTTCTAAGTCTTCGACGGGAGGTAGAACGATATTTTTTCCGGTATCTGTTATAATTGTTGACAGTTTTTTGCCATATGATGCGAAGGTGCAGCCCCAGAAAGATGGACTCGTTTCTGAATTGCAATGTAGCGATCCATTTTTGTGAATGAGCTTCATTGTCCTGAGGTGTCCAGTTTTCGTGATGTTGATGGAACCGTACATGTTGCCTTTGGTTCCAAAGCAGACTGGATCTTTGCCATTTACCTTCTGCCAGCCACCTGTAATAAATTAAATATTAATGTAATTGTAAGCAATCTATGTGGCTGGGGTGTTCTTCTTATCAGGAGTTCTGTTTCTAAGCCTCTACATCATCCTTAGACCTGAATCAGCCCTAGTACCCCGAGTAAAGCGTTGGATAAAGGGAAAAGTCCCTCGGGAGTTTCACGGGAAACATAACGGAGACTGTGACTGTTTCTTTGCCTTTGAACAGTTTGATTAAGGCCCATATTTGTAATCAGTTCCATCGAAATCACTGATCAGAACCAGTACCGTTGTTGGATGCAGTATATTAGGTTTACAAATCAAATCAGACTACCTTCACAGTAAGCCTCAATTGACCCATTCTTCCCATCGGAGTGTATCCAGTATTTCTTGTATTCCACCGCACCTCCTTCACTGGCTATGATCTCACTGCATGATTCAGCTGGAAGCTGTGGGATGGATCCCAGGGATACTATACGATATTAAAAAGAAACGGGTTAATAGAACAAAGGAGTTGGTCTTGTGCGACAGTTTCGGATGTCAGCTCGGAAAACTGGCAGTAGCAAGTCGAAGGTTACTGGAAAACTTCCCTAACTAAAAAATTGGCGACTAATACTCATCTTCTGAACTGTGTTATTTCTCGTTTACCGTGCACTATGGGTCTCTAACTAAAAGCGAGTGGATTGTAAGATGCGGCTCAGTAAGAGGGATAATGTGCAAATTGTTCATTGGAAACTTAAAAAATCAAAACGAAAAAAACGATAAGTCCAAAGAAAGTTATTAGAACGATAAAATAACCCTTTGCATGGGAATAAAACCTAGCTCGGTATATAGCTTAACTCGATATATAGCTTAGCTCGCGAAGCAAGCTTTCTAGAGCTTAGTTGATAGAGTATCCGATCGCGAAATCGGAAGCTCATAGAAAAGCTTCGTTGTTTGTGACACACTTATGCGTAACACCTCTCTTTTTATATGATAACCTCTGTTAGTGAGACGTCTCATGTAGTATCTCGTCTTGTCTGGCAAAAAATCTTTAGGTCTTGCTTCTTTTGTACGATTGTTAAGCTCACAAATGTTTTGACCAATGACGAAGTTGTAGCTCTGACATGTGACTTCTTCGGTGCACTTGAAGTAGCAGGACTCGTGCAGTCCAACTTGTACGTTTTTGAATGTGTGACCTCGAAGATACATTCCTTTGACAGAGTACTCCGTTGTGTGACATTGCCCATCAACTTTACGCGCACGAATCCAAGAAGTGAAAAAGGCGATTACCAACCAGAACTTGGGGTTCATAGAGATTCGTTGAACACGGTCTGTTGCTCTTACCAGAGAACGAAACAACATTGATCCTAAACGTGTATGACGCGTTCACTTCTTTTAGTTACATCCTGCTGCTATACTGCATTTTTAGTCGTCTTTTAGTGTCGCACAACTGGTAGAGCCCTGCTTGACATCCAAAAGGATAGGATAGCCGTGAGGGAGACTACAGTGACATATATTAATATTAATAATAATAATAATAATAATAATAATAATAATAGGACCGAGTGGATTCCAATTCGGTCTTCAACCGTGCGAGTGATTGACACTGGAACTCGGACGACCGCCAAGTGGGACTCCGATTCACCATTCACCAATATGATTGCAGACAGAATTGGACGACACGGAGTCCTGTTACCAATTAATCACAACCGTTACAATATCTGAAAACAACAAATACATTTAAGGAAAATATCTCTGTTAGAGAGAATGTCTAAAGTAAAAAATTCCTCAATTTTGGAAGTTCCACAGTCTTTTTTTTAGGATAAGTGGTTGTTGCCTTATCAATTGTGATCAATTCTGTGATTGGTGGATTTGGCTGAAAGGAGTTGTTATGATCGGCTATTTCAGCTGTTCGATTACAGGTGGTGTCCGATTACAGCCAACTATCCGATTTCAGTTACTGGTCGACTACAACTGTACAGAATGGTTATTGAAAGATAAAAGACTCGAAATTGGAAACGAAATGGAGGTAATATTTTGCTCTGATACTGATTGTGATAAATCTTTCCTAACTGGTTTTGAAGAATCCTACCTTTATTGTAAGGTGGCTATGGAAAGTAGTATTGTTTAAATAGAATATGCCATTTTATTTGATAAATAAAGAAAAATGAGGGAATTTTCGGTATTAAAATCTTTTCTCGTTCGCCCTTGAGAGAATTCAGTTGAGTTCATTGGTTTGACGTGCGGCAAAAGAGTGGTCAATTTGAAGACGTAAGAGTTTAGCTTCCCGAATTTCTGAGAGACCACAACCCCTTGAATGTTATTATTAATTTTATTATTATTAATATCATTATCATTGCTATTATTATTTTACTGCTAACATGTCTTTTAACGAAGATTGAAACAAATCTGTTGAAAAATTGGTGAAGTACGTAATAGGCTGAGAGAGTTTTCCCTGTCACCCATCCAAGGGCGCATCCCATTTGGCATTTGGTACAGCTTAGTTCCATTGTTCGGCCGAGTGAAGGATAATAAAATCCGACCAGCACGTTATGGCTTGGCTTATCTTTCATAATAAGATCTACACGAGTTCTTTCTCGTTTATCTAATTTCACTTTTTTAGACTAGGGTCGGAAATTTCTCATGCTAAAGCGAAGGATGTAAATAACTTGATTGAAATTGAACCTTATTCTGCATGGAATCACACTGAATCATTTGATAATTAATTTTAAGGAAGATCTCTGGAATTATTACAGACTCATGATTGAGTTGATACTTGAAAGTCTGCGCTGCTTTCTTTGATATATTTTATCTACAACTGACACGTCAATCGCGACAGAAATTTGTTTAACTAATTCTTATTAAAATGCAAGGAGAACGACCTCTTATCTTTTATTAAAAAGGCGGTTGTAAATGTTTCAGTTTTCGTTTAGTCCTTAGGAACGCCGATTTGAGGAAAATTTGCTTTAAATGAACCGCAAAGGATGACGAGGAATAAGCGTAACCGTTTTTGACACATCGACGCCTTAAAATTCGTTGATCGCCTTTAAAATCATCATCATCATCTTTTTTTTTCTTTGCCAAAATCCTTTATTTCAGTGGCCGCTTGGTTGATTCCATTTCTGACTTTTTTCTTCATTATACGTTATAAACAAATGATTCCTAGAGTTTTTGTTTTCAGAAACATAGGATCAGGTAAATCAATATTGAATTTGTTGTGTGCCTTATGTTTGTTCAAAGAGGACAAGGTTCCTTTCTCATTAAATATCACAACTCATACCATTTAAACTGTCTACGAAATTAAGGAAATTTAGAGTCATATCCTTATTTTCAAGTGACTACACTGAAACTTTCTCTTCATGGCCGCAGTTCTGTTTATCATTTGACATCAATCACTTCTTTTGATTGAACAAACATGTATCACCCCAGGAAGAGATGCTTGATATGTTAGATAACGTGCTTAGTTCATACGAGTGTAGAATTCACCGTTCGTAAAATGCATCTCAGTTATTATAGTTCTGATTTCAATAGGAGTACAATGTGTTCCTCCGTAGTACACGCCACTCACTCATCCACCCTCAATACAACCACGCGTCTAACATTTTCGAAATTGAAAGACGTTCTTGATAATTATTTCTGAACCTTGCGATGCAGTCATAACCAATGAAAGAAAGCAAGGAAATCATAGTATTATTGAAATTCAGGGTGAACTAACCTTTTTCTTTGAAGTAGATCCAGAGATCTTGGTTTTCGCAAATGATGCGACTGACCGACATTCGAATCTGTCAGAATAAACGCTATCAGTTCTTGGGTAAATACAATAAGGTTGAAATTGAAATAGTAATAAGTTAACAGTCACCTGTCTTATATCATGTTTGTGGATAGATTGTCGTCTCAGATTCCTTTCCATATAGGACAACTTCTTCTTATTAAAACTTTACTTGGTTTATCGAAGGGTCGCCTGTACGGGCCGAAATTGACATTCGCACTTGGCTGACACCTAAAGCAAAAGTCATAATTTTTTTATCATTTTTTATCAAATTTGCTAGCAGAGAATTACAGATATTCTATATAGCGAGGAAGCCCAAATTAAGAAACCATGGGGCTTAGAAAGTATGGGTTTCCTGAGTAGTAGTGTATCACTTACAATGGAATGACAGTGACGAAATACGTAAAATAATCTTATGAGAATGACGAAATAAGTTTCACAAGTATGCCTCTCTTTACCTAATATATAATATCGGAAATTAGCAACAGAAAGAAAAAAAAATGATAAGAGACTGTAAGGTGGGTTTATCTGAGATATTTTTGTTTAGGGCCTTTCCACGCCAGTAAGCAAAACTGGAATTGTCCCGACAAAATCGAAGAACAAATTTTGCCGTGACAAATTCTTGTTTCGTCTGTTGCATCTACATTAAAATTTTCAAAGCCTTCAAATTCCGTTAACGCCTGATCTCTTCGTGTAAGACCTGCCAGCATAGTTTACCTAAGGATTTCACTTCAAATTTCAGGATTTATTCTAAGTAGTTTTAACATATTAGAATCCCCAAGTTGTGTAACAGAAGACAATTTTCGTCTTTCTAGTAAACTGATTTCAGTTCAGTTACACGCTGGTCGTAGCTTTTCCGACAACTGATTGACAAGTTTATCACAGTTTTGTTTATTTAGTCGATTTTGTCCAGTTTTTCCCGCAGACAAATTTTATCGGCGGTGCATCTGAAGATTTGTCCGCTTCGGCCAAAATTTTTCAAGTCGGACAAACCATCTACACTTGTAAAATTTTGGTGATGACAGGAAAGGAAAGGCCTTAAGTAATCAAATGACACTTCCCATTGAAGCTGTCGTATCAACCTCGCGAGCGGAAAAAAACTTTCCTTTACATATTTTGCTCATGAATAGTTTAGTACACATTTGTCAAAACAGTTACGGATTATTTCTAATTTTTTGGATCATATCCACAATATGTAGATGACAGATTTTCATAGGCACTGCGACTGGAAAACTCTGACATCGAATTCTATTTTGGTACAACTGAATCCAAGTTGAATTCAGTTGGTCTAAACAAAAAATATGGAAACTTCAACACGAAATCCCACGTACACCAGCATGATCTGAGGAGACTCTTCTCTTCAACCTTAATCTGCATAAAAAAATCCACTGACTAAATTTAAAATTCTCAACACTCAGTTCTAAATCGAACTAGAAAGGCAGTCATCGCTGCTAACTCGCGGTTTGCTTGTATAGTTTTTCCCACCACCATCTTAGAATTAACGCAAAACCGTGTGTTTTACATATACATAGTTAGCACTCTTTTCAAAACTCATTTAAAGAATTTTCATAGTTAACTTAAGGATTTATCAACTTGTCTAGACCGCGGACATACTTTTGTTATATTTCCCTGAAATAAAGTGCGGACTGGATTAACCCTCGACACTGTGATTTGTTTGTTAATTCTCTCATCTAGCTGTTACACATTTCCCTGTTAATAAGTTATGAGAATATGGTGTTCGATCGAGATAACAACTTCTACCTGATAACATCTTGAGCAATTTATTTTCAAATTGTCATATATAAAACTTGGGTTTTTTTCTGAGCCACAATTCAGCCAGATTTAACCCGCTTCAGATTCTGCGTGAAGACTGAAAAACGTCTGGCCTAAGTGTCAAATTCGACCTGCCTAGCAATTTCAGTTTGTGAACTTTGATGGTTTGTGAACTAGGCCTGAGAATTTTACACTAATGCGTTTTCTGTGAACTTTGTTTGTTTTGAAGCCAGCATTCTGTTAGCTTTCTGTGTCTCACAGGTGTTCTTTTCACAAACACTGTTCGTTTATTTACTAACATGACGTTTTACAAGCTGACAGTAATAACGGTAATCTATATCCACAGATTGAGATAGATATTCTTTACTAATGGTTTGATAGAAAATGATTGAACCTTCCATTGGAGTTATGAAGTCATATTTTCCTCTCCTCTGATAAGCAAAATTACTCTGCGTGTCTAAATAATAATGATAATGATGATAAAATAAATTCTTCAAGTGCGAACCAACAGTGCGTATCGTTATCTTGGTACAAGTTCTTGGTTTTTGTGTTCAGGCTTAGAATACTTTTTTAGGAAGAAAAAACCTCACTCTGAAGGACAATGCAATATAGTTTAGTAATCCTCATTTGAATTTATCGCATGTATTGATTATCTACTTTAGAAAGCATAATGATATGAAACTTTTTGGACAATCATTACTTTGAATTACCTTTTTGGCAGCTTAGATGTACTAGCTTTGTTCAATGTTTCAATTTTCATCACATGACAGATATTCTAAAAAAGAGTTTAGAAAATGTCATGGGCAGAAAAATAATTTGTTACATTTTTTCCTTCGTGAGAAATGGTCAAGTTTGTTGTTTGTTGACGTAA